TGTTCCTTCCCCTCACAGGCATCTGAGGTTTCTGTAAGACTTCTTCCGGGGGACGTGAAGCGGGACCAGAGGGGGGGGTGCTGTATCTGCTGGTGGCGGCAGAGGCTGGGTGCCTAGACCAGCAAGAACAAAGGTGGGCCAGCAGGCAGCCTGCCCACTGGCTTACCTGCTTGCCCCTATAAAACAGCCTCTGCAGGCCTGGCTCCACGTGAAACACCTCTTGAATCTTCCGCCTCAGCTCCTCCACCTTGGTCAGCCTGGACAGTGAGTTCACAGTGTGGGTCTCCTTCCCGTCCATGGTGCGCACCTGGACCCACATGGTGTCAGCGCTGATGGAGGAAAAGAAAGCAGGACGGGGGTCAGTTGTGCCACCAGGCCATCTCAGGCTATACTGGGATCATGGTTACTTCTGTCCAGTTGGTGGACAGTATGAAACTCCCAGAATGTCCTTCAGACCCTCCCGGTCCCGGTGGACTGCCAAGTCTCAACCAGGGCCAGGCAAAGTAAATTAAGGACTTAATGTCTTAATGACCAGCAAGTGTTAAGGATTGAGCAGGGAGGGAAACGAGATCTCAGGCCACCCAGCGCAGCYCACCATCCGTTCACAGCAAAACCAGGTCCGGGGCTGGGGGGGGCCCGGGCCGAGCGCGCGCAGCCACCCCGAGCTGCGGCGCCGGCTTGTTCATTCATTCCCGGGATTCGTGTCTACACAAGAGGGACTTCCCAAAGTCCGGAGTGGGTCGCAAGTTGTGAAGTCCCGGGACAACTCCACTCAGTGGGACCGAGGAGGCAGGACCCCACCCGCGACCCCCGAGTCCCGGGACCCCTTGGTGCCCCCCGCGCGCGTGCGCGGCCAGCCCCGCCGTGGCCATGGCAACCGGCCGCCCCGTCCCGGTCGCCCCCGCGCGCGCGGGGCGACTCACCTTGGCCCCGCGGCGGCCTGCGCCCCCCGGACTCCCGAAGCGCTGCCCCAGCGACCCTYTGGCACTCTGCCCGCGCCGCGCGGGTCGCGCCAGCAAACCCACGCCCACCCCCACCGCCCGGACGGACCGAGGGGCCCCTCTCGCCAAGTCCCTCCCCCCTTCACTTGAGCTGCCTCTTATTGGCTCCGCCGCACCCGGTCGCCCCGCCCCGCTCGCTCCCCATTGGTCCTGACGCACCCGGGGAACTCAGGGCGCGCGAAATCAGGCTCGGGCGCGACAATTGAATCGCGGGGCGCCCCGCGCGCAGGCGCGGAGACTGACATCCTCCCGGGCGGCTCACCGGGCCCTCCCCCACCCTGCCCGCGCGACCCCCGCCCAGCTCCGCGACTTGCTGCTCGCCCCCGCCCAAACCAGTGTACCGGGTGAGGCGTGGGTAAAGCGTTTGGATCGCGGGACCGCGTGCAGGGCAGCCCCCGTGCGGGCATGAGTGCGCCCATGCTGGCCGCGCGTCCCGGTCCACGCAGGAAAGTTCTGCAAAGTCCCCGAGCCCGGAGCACCCAGTGCGCCTGGCCCGGGCTGGCACCCGGATCCGCCCTGCAGCTCACCTCTCTGGCTGCGGTGATCCACTCTCCCGCCTGCGCGCTTGACCCGGCTGGGGATGGCGATGGAGCTGCGTGCGTGGCTGGGATCCCGCGCGGACCTATGTGGTACCCGGAGTGCCCACTCGGCCAATGCTGCCCGCCGCGCTGCCAGCTGCTCTGATTTTTTTCCCGCGAAAACTGGCGTTTGGGAGTTGCCGGAGGCTGTGCTGGGGGGCGGGTGCCTGCCTCCTGATTGGCCGCCACAGTGGCGGGAAGCAAGAAAGGGGGTGGGGGGCGCCCCCCTTTGCCTTGATCCGCCCTCCTTAACTCCGCCCAGCTGGCCACGGCCCCGCCCTGCCCTTCGCTCTCTTAAGGGCGCGCCCAGTGCGCCAGGGGGGCCCTGTGGCGGGACCCAGGCCTCCCCGCCCTGTGTGTCCTGTCTGCAGGAGCCCTAGGGGGACTCCCTCTCAGGATATCCCTCTCAGGGATAGAGACCCGCTGATCTACTAAGCCCGTTGCCTTGCCATAGCCCCCTTCCCCTGGACACACGTTGCAGTAGAGCTAAGAAGGCCGGAATCAATATCTACACTGCAGAAGAATGTTTGGATCCCCAGGAGACAGCCTGTACCCCATGGCTGCGCCCCATGACAGCCCCACTGCCTGGCGTCAGGACCTGCCGCCTCTCCCCACCCTAACCACCCACAGGGCTTGTTCACTGGTTCTTCCCGCTGGGTTTTCCCGCCTTCTCTTGGCTGTCCAGGTGGGCAGGGCTGCCCTGCCCCCTCCGCCTGGCCTGCTCCATTCTGGCCACTGATAGCAGACACAGGAGTGACCTGTGCTGGGCACCCACCCAGGAACTGGACAGGGTGCTCCCTGCTGGGCAAGGACTTACTCCCAGGTTGGTGGTCTCAGGTCTGGGGGGCAGAACATTCCTGTCAGGGAACAGGCAAGACCTGCATAAAGTAGTGAATCTGGGTTTGCACCAAGGGCCGTGAAGCGAGGAGAGTCCACGGAGGATGGGAGCCACCAGCAGCCACGAGGGGGCCAGGGAGAAGGACCTGGGTTCAGGGTAAAGGCTGTGGTCTCTGAGCAGATGAGATCCAAGGGCAGATGGAACCACCACAGTGGTTTGGGGAGCAGGAAGGAGGCCCTCTAGGAGCAGCCAACAGGCTGAGGCAGGGAGGGGGTCCCGGATGAGGTCAGAGGGGTGGCAGGGAAGACCCCCAAGGCCCCTGGAGGCATTCAGTCTTTCTTTTACAGCAAAGGAGCACAGGAGATCTGCGAGCAGAAAGAAGTTGAGTTTCATCTTTCATTTGTATAAGATTTTTGTAGCAGTGCAGAACTTCCATTCTGCCAGAGCTACTTCCACTGTTAGACAGAGCCCTGGCCCCGAAGAGGTCCACATCCTCCCCCTGAGAATCTGTGAATGTGGTACCTCCGGCGGCAAAAGGGTCCTAGCCACATAAGGATTTTGAGATGGGGAGGTTACCTGGGATGATCCAGCTGAATGCCATACCATTGTAAGGGTCCTAATGTATGGAAGAGGGAGGCCGCAAAGCCCAAGTCAGAGAAGATAGAATACTAGAAGCAGGTGAGAATCAGGAGGACTAGAGGCCAGGCATGGGGTGTTTCAGAAGCTGCAAAGGGCAAGAGTTCTTTGCTAGAACACAGCCCCAGCAATACCTGGATTCTAGACTAAGACTCATTTTGGACCTCTGACCTCCAGAACTGTTAGAAAATAAACTATGTGGTTTCAAGCCACTGCATTATTGACCTTTTGTTACAGCAGCCATAGGAAACTCATACARTCTAATATGTATAGTCCAGAGGTTGCTGTTCACTGTCTCCAACTTCGAGACTCTCTCACTGCCACTGAACCCAATTTTGGATCCTTGGCCATCAACCATATGTTGATCACACCACAGATGTGAGCAGTGATCAAGCACACCTGCCCAGGTTTGTGAGGCACAAGGGATCTTCCAAAAGATCCTGGTCTATCCCGTGAGACCTGGCCTCCAAGTGTACCTGCCCTTGCAGAAACACCTGGAAGGGGCAGTATTCCTGATGGACACTCGGTGCAGGGGATAGGCCAGGCACCTTGGTCATCTGAAGTTAACCCAGAAAGAGGCATCCAGCTTTCTCTGCATGGTCATACAGGACTCGAATTCCATAATCATTTTGAGAATGTAAAAATCCATCATATTACATCAAGTGCATAACTGCTGAGTTTAATAACTCAGAAACACCAAACAACTACTCCAGGCATCTCAAAAAGAAGTTCACAAACCAGGCGGGGTGCGGTGGCACACACCTGTCATCCTAGTGGCTCAGGAGGCTGAGACATGAGCATCACAAGTTCAAAGCCAGCCTCGGCAAAAGCGTGGCACTGAGCAACTCAGCGAGTCCCTGTCCCTAATAAAATTCAAAATAAGGCTGGGGATGTGGCTCAGTGGTCTAGTGCCCCCTGAGTCCAATCCCTGGTACCAAAAAAAAAAAAAAAAAAAAAAGAAAAAAATCACAAACTAATAGGCAGGTGTCAGTGTCCCCAAAAGCTGTCACATAAAATAAAGCAAACTAGGGCTGGGGACATAGCTCAGTTGGTAGGGTGTTTGCCTCATATGCAAAAAGCCCTGGGTTCAGTCCCCAGCACCACAAAAAAAATAAATAAATAAATAAATAAATAAAGCAAACTATAGCAAACATAGCGAGGCCTGTCAGTCTGGACCGTGGGTACAGGCTAGCATTCTGCTTCAACGTCCCTCCCTGCTGAGGCACCAGCCCACGTGCAAACAGACTCTCGGAGGCTATTGGGTCACTCAACAAACTTTTATTGACACCACCATTAGCCTTGCTGGTCTGGGTCGGGCACACGTGGGTGGGCACGAACCTCCGTGACACATCTCCCTCTRAAGGGACTTACCCAGGGCGGGAGAGCAGGTTTAAGGAGAGATGTCAGTCTGCAAGAGGACGGGTTCCAGGTGGTCTGGGTGTCCAGGGTGAGTCCAGGGGACCTGAGCACCTGCAGTACCCATCAGACGCCRTGTCCTGTCCCCATCTACAACGTTTTTTTCTAATACAGACCAGATAATGAAGGGCCTTCAACAGGAAAATGATCAAATGTGGCACCGAACCTGGGGCACCTGGTAGGACGGCAGATGCCTTCGGGCCTCTCCGGGCCTCTCCTTCCCCTGTGAAGGCAGCCCAGGACGTCTTCCGCACCAGGGCGGCTGGAAGGATCCTTCCCCACAAGCCCCCGACTTCCGGGTGGACGACGGGCACTCTCTATGCAGCGGGGACGGTGGCCTCTTGACTTTGAGGGTTTGGGTCTTGGTTATTCCGGAGGAAACACGGTCGGGCTTCCCACGAGGGTCACCCAGTTCCCGAGCCGCTGCTCACCCGGGACGCTGCTCACCCGGGACGCACAGCCCGGCCTTCCCTCCTGGCCTCTGGCTCTCCCTTCCTGGAGTTGGGAGCCCAGGGATGTCATAGACCAAYGATGTCACTATAGCCAAGGAACCCGGAACCTTGGTGGCCTGGGGGAGGGGAAAGATGTTTCCCCGCCACCCCAACYCCCATGTCTATGGTGAGGTCCATCGAGTTAGTGCTGCCCAAGGATGCAGTGTACCTGGCTGGCTCCAACCTACAGGGGCAGGTGATCCTCACCCTGAACAGCACCCTGGTGGACCCCGTGGTGAAGGTGGAGCTTGTGGGGAGGGGCTACGTCGAGTGGAACGAGGAGATCGGGGCCTCCCGTGACTACAGCAGAGAGGTCATCTGCAACAATAAGGCCGACTACGTGCACAAGACGAAGACGTTCCCCGTGCAGGGTAAGGAGAGGSTGCCGAGGCCAGAGCCCTGGGGGACCCGGGGCTGAAGGTCAAGACGGTCGACCAACCACCCCTAGCGGGACTGGGGACAAGCAGTTTCCACCCTAGGAGCCAGCCKGGCAGAAGAGACACCACCAGGCCAGGAGCAGTGGGGACACCTAGCCCAGCGACTCAGAGGCTGAGGCAGGRGGATTGCAAATTAGAGGCCAGGCAACCGAATGAGACCCCCCATCTCAAAATAAAAAGGGCTGGAGGTGTAGCTCGGCAGGAGAGCGCCCTGGGCTCAATCATCAATTAAAAAATAAAAAGCACCAGGCGTACAGAACGTGACTGGTGTTCAGTCAGGACAGCCGCTTCCTTCTCTGGAAGACCCCAACATCCCGCGCCACCTCTCCACGTTTCCAAGCCACTGGACGCCCCTCCCGGGCACCGACCTGAAGCCCATCTGTGCCAAGCACCAGAGCAGGGACCCTGCATCGGATGCAGCAGATAGGTCTCTGGGAACTCCAGGCCTTTGTGTCTGCTGTGGGGACCGGCCATGAAAAGCAGGCTGGGGAGAGACGGAGAAGGAAGAAACAGGAAGTTCACAGAAATGGGGACGGCGGAGAGGGCCCTGCGGCCGCCCCCCTCATCAGCAGACCCTGGGCTGAGGGCAGAGCTTGGTGTTCAGACCATGTGCGTGGCCACACGAGGCCTGGGTTCCACTCTCAGCTCCAAAACACAAAATCAAACTTTAAGCTCCTACTGTATACCAGGCACTGCAGGTGAAGCTCACTGAAGGCAAGGAGTTTTATCTGTCCCGCCCCCTGCCTAAAACCATCTCTGGCATACAGTAGGTGCTCAGCACATCCTAGCTGAATCCTGAGGGTCCGAACTCCACTTACTTTCTTTTTTTTCAGTATCGATGGAATCCAGGGTCCTACCTAGGCAAGCCCTCTCCCACTGAGCTACACCCCCAGCTCTTTTTATTTCTGAGAYAAGTCCTTCCTAAATTGCTAAGGCTGGCCTCCCTTGTGTCCTCCTGCCTCAGCCTCCCRAGTTSCTGGGATGACAGGCACTCCGCACCACGTCCAGGCCCAGCCTCCGCTCTCTCAAGCCCAGAGCTGGGGTGTGCAAGTCCACATCAATACTTTGGGGTGACCATGCCAGCCATGTCCCTCTCCAATCCGGTCAGGGCCGACTGTTCATGGGCCRACAGAGGAGGTCCTTGAAGGTATAGAGAGAGGGTTAGCTCAGGACAGAGGAGCCAGCCCCAGAACCTGCACCTCCCTGTCCAAACACTATGAATAATCGGGGAAACATGAAGAAAAAAAGAAGATTCTAGAACCTTCTGATGGCCTCGGTGTGTTTTGCTTTCAGATAATTGGTTAAGTGCAGGCAGCCACACCTTTGACTTCCATTTCAACTTACCTCCCAGGCTCCCCTCCACCTTCTCCAGCAAAACYGGCCACATCTCCTACTTCATCCAAGCCTCCTGCCTGGGCCGCGAGCACGTCCTGGCCAAGAAGAGGACCTACCTGTTGATTCAAGGGACCTCGGACTTCCACCCAGATCAGTCCTTCCAGGTGCCGAGGGGGCGCTGGGGCGGGGGCAGCGAGGCCCACGGGAGCTGCCAGGGTGCCAGCAGCTGCCCAGTCCAGAGGACTCACAMAAGGTGGCCACCAACCAGGCCAGGAACTGAGCCAGGGTGATTCTCCTCCCCGGGGACACTTGAGGATGTCTGGAGACACACTGGGTTGTCATGGCAGTACAGGGGGATGAGAGGCCAGGGATGGCCCCCCAGAACCCCAGAAGTCAACAGTGGCCTTTAAAGGAAAAGAGGAGGGGCTGGCATGGCGGCTCAGCGGTGGCGTGGTGGCTTGCGGTGGCATGGTGGCTCAGTGGTGGCATGTGGCATGGTGGCTCACGGTGGCGAGGTGGCTCAGCAGTGGTGTGTGGCATGGCGGCTTATGGTGGCGTGGTGGCTCAGCGGTGGCGTGGTGGCTCGCGGTGGCATGTGGCATGGCGGCTTGTGGTGGCGTGGTGGCTCGCGGTGGCGTGGTGGCTCAGCGGTGGTGTGGTGGCTCGCGGTGGCGTGGTGGCTCAGCGGTGGCGTGGTGGCTCAGCGGTGGCGTGGTGGCTCACGGTGGCGTGCTGGCCTAGCACGTGTGAGGCCCTGGGTTCGACCCTCAGCACCACATAAAAACCTATAAAGGTGTTGTGTCCGTCTACAAAAAGGGAAAGGAGGAGAAAGGGCAGTGTGGCCGGTCAGGGGACAGTGGGCTTTGGGGGCCACTGGTGGGTGTCGTGRGGGGAGTCCAGGCACGGAGCCAGGGGAGGCCAGGGGCGCTGCCCAGCTCCCTGCAGTGCCCAGGACACCACCCAGAGAGAGCCACAGCGGCTGGGGCCCTCGGGGACTGAACCGAGCAGAAGCCCCAGAGCCCCTCTGGGTGGGAGAGAGGCCAGACCCTCAGTGGCCCCCGGTCATCTGAGTCCTCAGACACAGAGCTGGTGTCCCTAAAAGGCAAATGCAGGCGCTTCAGTCCCTGGACAAGGAAGGACAGTGCAGCTGTGGTCACCTGAGCGCCAGGCTGTCCCAAATCCCGTTTTGAGGCCCAGTGCAGAGGGGAAGCTGGGGCAGTGGAGTGACATTGGTCAAGGTCACCTACCTCCACAGGGAGTTCTGTGTCATCAGAGCATCAAGGGCATGGGGGAGTGGGCCCTGGAGATTCTCTGGGGGGTGGGTGGCAGGCCCCTCCTGSTGCCCCGCCCTGCGGGCACTCGGTAAAACAGGCTGGCCCTGCTGCCTCCAAGGTCATTCCAAGGGCGATGACTGGACCTCCTGATGGTGTGATTATCTGAGTGACAAAGAGAYGCTCTGAGCAGCCCACAGGGAGGTGGGCCTCGGGAGGGCCAGTGTTAGAGGTGTGGAAGGGCCCTGGGGCCAGCAGCCTGGTTCAGGTCTGGCCCCCGCTCCCGGGGTGACCTTCTGCAGGCCTTGCCCCCTCTCTGGGTGCCCATGGGAACTAAGAGGACACAAGTTGGGCCTCACGACCAGTGGACCCTCCATTAGCCACAAGGCCCAGGGCAACAGCACCTCCAGGAGCCGGAAGTGCCCAGTTCCACAGAAACACCCCCTTCCACCCACGGGGACCCCTGGCAGCAGGCTTGGGGKCAGGCCCAGGAGGAGGGCCAGCAGACCAAGCGCTAAGGCACCCCCAGGGAGGGCTGGGGGCAGGAGGCCGCTGCGCTGCCCGCCGCCGAGCACTGCTCCTCCCCTCCGGGCCTTCCTTCCTACTTTTTCTTCTTTTTTGTTTTTTATTTATTTATTTTTATTTTTCTGGTGCTGGGCACTGAGAAGAGGCCCCTGCAGGCCCCGGTCAGTACTGCAGGCCTCCCCTGGGGCCTCAGGTTCCTAAGCTCTGCAGGGGCCTGGCGCATGCGCATGCGCAAACTCTCCCTGAGACTGGGGTTTAGGAGGCCCGGGCTGCAGGACAGGCGGGGGTCTGAGGCCCGGGTGGAAGGGAGGTCAGAAGGGGTCAGGGGTCAGCCTGAGGTTCCCAAGAGGGTCAGCAGTGGACCCAGAGCSGCACTTTTCAAACCGTGGAAGGACGCACGGAGGTTGCGCTTTGCGGTCTCACTGTAGTGACATGCAGGCACCTCGGCCTGGACYCAGGACAGATCAGAGAGAGGGATTGGGTGGGTTCCCAACTCCATGTTTTATAAAATAAAAGAATAYGACAGTGTGGTGGCACACGCCTGTCCTCCCAGGTCCTTGAGAGGCGGAGGCAGGCCCGGGCGCGTAGCACGGGGGTCAGGAGTCTGAGGCAGGAGGATGGCGAGTTCCAAGCCAGCCTCAGCTAGGGTGAGGCGCTACATGAGACCCGTCTCTAAATAAAAACTCAGAATAGGGCTGGGGTGAGGCTCAGTGGTCCAGGGCCCCGAGTTCAATGCCCAGTACAAAAAAAAAAAAAAAAAAATCAGTCTGGTGTGTTGCAATGGATCTCCCCCAGAATCTCAGCCCCCAGTCTCAAGCCGGGAAGCCAGGGCCTAGGCAGCCTGGGCAGGTGCTCTCCCAGGGAGTCACCTACAGTCCTGCCACCCATGGGTGGTTGGTTGTTTGGATGGATGGATGGATGGATGGACAGCATGCCTTTCTTTTATTTGTTTATTTTTATGTGGTGCTGAGGATCAAACCCAGGGCCTCACAAGTGCTCTGCCAGTGAGCCCCAACCCCAGCCCCTAACTGTTTTCTAATGAAAGAAAATAATAGAAAATGTCAGAATATGGGCTGAGGATGTGGCTCAAGCGGTAGCGCGCTGGTCTGGCATGCGTGYGGCCTGGGTTCGATCCTCAGCACCACATACCAACAAAGATGTTGTGTCCACCAAAAACTAAAAAATTWAAAAAAAAATTAAAATGTCAGAGTATATGAATTTGGTGGGTTGCAACCAACATGATTAAGAAATCCAGGGCTGGGCCGTGGGTCAGTGGTGGAGCCCTGATGAGGCACTGGGTTCCATTGAGACAGGAGGATCTTGAGTTCAGGGCCAGCCTCAGAAACTTAGGGAGACCCCTGTCTCAAAATAAAAAATAAAAAGGTCTGGGGTGTGACGCTCAGTGGTCAAGCGCCCCTGAGTTCAATCCCTGGTACCAAAAAATAAAAGAAAATGAATGATAGCATCGAATAAGTAGAATAGAAAATAACAGAAAAATGAGTTCAGAGGATTGCCACCAACGTTTTGCAGATGAATGGAATTGGAACACCCGGAACAGAAGGCCCTGTCTGTGCTCAAAAAGTCTGGGATGTTTGGAGCATTTCAGATTTTCAGATCAGAGACACTCAATAAGTCAATTCAATACAAACATCCCCCCACTCCCAGACGGGAGCCAGGTCTGGTCCCAGGCTTTTCCTGGGAGGCCCTTGGACCTGTCACAGATAGCAGGTGCGCACCRCGGTGGAGTGCTGGCCCAGGACAGTGAGGACCCAGGTCCATCCCAGCAAAGAAAAGGAAAGATGAACAGTGAACCCAGTATGCGTGCGCGCGCTGTGTGGCCGGCGCCCGCGAGGTTCCCAGCAGCCCCTGCCTCAGAGCCAGCGAGCGCCCGCAGGGGCCCACACAGCCCTCCTGTGGGATGCAGGGGGGTCGGGGATGGAGGACAGGTCATTTTGCAGGGTTCTCAGCTGCTGTCATGGAAATGGACAAGATGGACGGTTCTTGGTTCTTCCATTTGCTATAGGGTCCTGTCCCCATAAACCGGTCATCAGGTGAAGATCTCCTTAACTGTAAAATGCACATGATGCAGCTGACCCAGGCACCTCGTGTTAGCAACAGGGCACGCTGCACAACGTTGGCTGCTCCCCTTCACAACTGTGGGGTTCACCTGGGAGCTGCAGCTCACTCACAGGAAAATATGTTTGCTTGGGTGGGGGGCGGGATCCGTATTTAAAATTCAAAATGGAGTTCCTAGTGAATGCATATCATTGAAATATTTGCCTAAGCCCAGGGTCTTGCTCTTAGACTGTAAGCTATTACTCGGTCTTCCAGAAAAAAAAAAAAATGCTCAGAGAAGTCAAGCCACTTATCCAAGGTCACACAGCCAGAGAATCATGGGAGGGGGATTCTGTGGATTTCTTCAGACTGTTTTGCAGATAAGGCCATTGATATTCAGATCAGTCAGGGGCCTGGACCACAGGAAGCTGGGAGACAACTGCAGGACGGATGTGGGTCAGGTGGTGGGTCTCCTAGCCACAGCCCCTCACTCTCGTTCCCCTCCCCCTGCAGGACCCCCTGTTTGTGCAGGCGGAGAAGAAGGTGTCCTACCGCTGCTGCCGGCGCGGCAGGGTGTGCCTGCAGGTTCGGATGGACAGGAACACCTTCATGCCGGGGGAGAAGGTGGTGTTCACCTCGGAGATCCACAACCAGACCAGCAAGTGCCTCCGGACGGTGGTCTTCGCCCTCTATGCCCACATGCAGTACGAGGGCTTCACGCCCATGGCCGAGCGGCGGTGGCGCGGGGACAGCCACGAGCTGCTGCGGCAGGAGGCCAACACYCAGATCGCCGCCTTCAGCAGCACCACGGTGGTCAGCACCTTCAGCCTGCCCCTGGTGCTGTCCGTGAGCAGCGCCCTGCTGGACGACCAGATCATGCGGACCAGCTACGAGCTGGTGGTCACCGTGCACCTGCCCTGGTCTCTGGCCAGCGTCAAGGCCAAGGTGCCCATCGTCATCACCAGCATGCCCGCCGAGTCCTCCAGCTGCCAGCTCTCCCTCGGCGGAGAGCCGGGTCCCGCCGGATTACGTGCCCAGACTTCTAGATATTAAAGCTTATCTGACTCTACCAGGCCTTGGTCCTGTTGTTTTCCTACTGGGGACGGAACCCAGGGTCACTTCACCTCTGCGCCATAGTCCCTCCTTTCTTATATATTTTATTTAGAAACAGGTCTCACTGAATTGCTGAGGCTGGCTTTGAACTCGTGATCCTCCAGCCTCAGCCTCCGGGGCCGCTGGGAGGACAGGTGTGGCCACCAGGCCGYCACCAGTAGCCCTTTGTCTTGCAGGGTGACTCCTTGATGGGTCCTGGCGGGACACGACCTTTGGCAACAGCCACCTCTCAAGAAAGATCCTCVGAACATCTGTAGCAATTGAAAATGCAAATTAAAACCACCCCAAGATCCCATCTGGGCCCAGTTAGAGTGGCAGTTATCAAGAGCACAAGGGACAGTGAATTAAATGGTGGCCGGGACGTGCGGAAAAGGCCCGCTTTTTTTAAAAAAATTGTTTCGTTGTAAAGGGACACAATCTTCATCTTCACGTGGTGCTGAGATTCCAACGCAGGGCCTCGCGCATGCTAGGCAAGGGCTCTACCCCTGGGCCACCGCCCCAGCCCCAAGGTCACATTCATACACTGCGGGTGGGACTGCCGACGTGCCACCACTGTGGAAAGCAGGGTGGAGATTCCTCAGAACCAGGAGCGGAACCTCCACGGGACCAGCTCTCCCACTACCCGGAGGTCTTCAACTCAGCCTCTACAGTGAGGCCCGTCAGCCTTTACAGCCTCTCCACTCACAGCAGCTGAGCTTAGGGAACCAGGGCAAAGGGCCTGTGGGCTGGCCTAGCCCGCGGGAGGCACTGCAGGAGGCACTGGGTTTGATTCTCAGCACCGCCCAGAAAAGCAAGTAAATAAACATAAAAAAACGAATGAGTTTAGGACTTCCCCAGGTAAAGGGGTGGCCGGAGGCTACGGAGGCCGGAAAGGGAGGCCCGGGAAGGGAAGGCCGGATGTAGYCCCTGATATGCAGATGCTAACKCGAGCCTGGGAGGGCGAGGTGGAAGTTCTGGGGTGGGAATAACACTGACAGAGACCTGCAGGGGACGAGGTCACTTTCCAGGGTTCTTATATGAACACGGGACCAGTGAGATTCCACCCCATGTACAACCACAAGCTCCCTGTCTGTAGGATGGTCCAGAGGCACCCGCCCTTGGGATCAGACGCACCCCACTGTCGGGATCGCACCCCACTGTCGTGACCTGTCCAGACGCACCCCGCTGTTGGGACCAGACGCACCCTGCTGTCCCCTATAACTAAACAGAACAAGTGAAGGAAGCCGCTCAGGGCTGGMGGGCTCGGTGGTGACCTGCTCGCAGGCCACACGGGGCCCTGGGTCCAACCCCAGCACCGCAAAGAAAACAGGAAGATCCTCAGGCCCCTGCCCAGMGAGCGCGGGCTCCGCCTTCTTCCCCAGCAGTGAAAAGAAAAGGAAAAAAGCAGTTTCTTTAAAACTTGAAGTCCAGATTTCACCGGGCACCCGGAGTGTCCTCCTAGAGCGCCAGCCTGGCCACCTCATTCCTGCCCTCAGAATCTCCAGCGGGTCCCCACGGCCGCCTGGGCCTGCGAGGGSCAGGTACAGCAGGGACGGAGGAGAGGGCCGGGCCTGTGCCCTTCTCCCCGCACCCCTCTTCCTCCTCATTTCTGGGTGCTGGGCATCGGGAGTCATCAGCAGACGGTCATTCTTTCTGTGGGGAGGGGGGGACCAGGGACCGCACCCAGGGACGCTGAGCTAGGACCCAGGCCTTTCATCATATTGACACAGGTTCTGGTCAAGTGGCTGCRGCTGGCCTTGAACTTGGGGTCCTCCTGCCTCGTTGGGATGGCGGGTGGGGCCCACAGGCCCGCCTCATCGCCCGCGACCTACCAGCCGCCACTCTTGGTGTCAGCCACAGAGGCTTCTCGCGGAACCCCACGCAGCACTCCCTCGGTGGGGGCCACCCTCGGGGTCCTGCGGGAGGAGGACCCACCCCTCCACCCCTCCCAGCTTCCGATGCCCCCCGCCMGGCCCCAGGCTGGCGCTTGGCCTCCCTGGAGGCTGCTCCCTTCACGGGTCGGGCGGCGGCTCCGCRGCCTGTGCTGGATCTGGGCTTTCGACTTGTGCTTTCTTAAGGCCAAGGTGCCCCTCTGGGAATCCCTCCAGCTGCACCAGGAGGTCCTCAACCCCCTTCACCTCCTCTGCGGGGGCTGAACTGGGGACCATCCTCAGGGTCACTTCCCAGACACCCAGAGCCCACTGCCCGCTTTTGACCCGGGCCAGGGGTGTTGGACGTGACCCGAGGGTTTGTGGCAATGTTTGCAGTTTCTTTCTTTTTTTGGTACCAGGGGTTGAGCCCAGGGACGCTAACCACTGGGCCGGCTCTTGCTACTTTGAGACAGGGTCTCTCCGAGTTGCTGAGGCTGGCTTTGAACTCGTGATCCTCCTGCCTCGGCCTCCTGTGCTGCTGGGATGACAGGCGAGCGCCCCAGTGCCCAGCCCTGCCCTGTCCATTAAAATCGGCCTCTGAGAGGACTCCAGAGGTCAGCGTGGCCCGCCTCAGCCGTGCACACYGGGAATGCCAGTGATTGGGCGGCCAAGGCAGGAGGATCTGAAGTGTGGGGTCAGCCTGGAGATTTAGGAAGACCCCGTCCCAGAATAAAAAGTAAAAATGGCTGGGTAAGGTGCCCAGCCAGGGGTAAGGTGCCCCTGGGTTCAGCACCAAAAAAAAAGAGAGACAGAGAAAAGGGGGGAGGGGGAGGGAGGGGAGGGGGGGGGGGGAGGGAGGGAAACAGACAATCCCTGAGTCCCTGTTTGGAGGAGGGCCACTCCGGCCTGCACTGGACTGTCCCAGACACAAAGAAATGCAGCTCCATGAATGACAAAGCCAGTGGCAGGGGACTGCTTCCTGGGACCCCCTCCTGGGGCCCTCAGTCCACCCAGGRCGTCCCCAGCTCAGCACTGTTGACGTTTGAGGTCCGGGCATCCAGCAGGCCTCCCGGGCCCTCCTCCAGGGCCGGCTCTGAGCCGGCTGTAGAAGGCCTCCTTTGAGCAGTGGGAACCTCCTTGGTGGGGGACAGTGCTGGGCACGGGAGGGTGCCCCTGGTGTGTGGCCACTAGACGCRGCAGCAGTGACCACCAGGAATGTCCCCCGGCTGGCAGAACTGCCTCCCGGAGAGCCACCAGTCCACCCTGAGCCTGTAGGTAGCTACCTTCATGAAGGCCCGGTCACTTCAGGGACAGCACTCAGGGAGCCTCTGCCAGCCCTGCCCCGCGCCCCCGGCCACCCCCAGCCCCACAGCGCAGGCTGCGCCCTCCTCGGCCTCTGGGTTGGTTTCTAAACGCTTTTGTTCACTTTTTCACTGTCTGGGGTTCTTTCGGTCAGCAGGTGGACAGCACGCAGCGCCCGGTATCTTATCTGCTTCCTTTTTTAATGAGGCACTAGGAGAGCGCTGCCACTGAGCCCCAGCRCCCCCCAATATTTACCTAACCCTTCCCATGGCCTGAGGGTGCGGGTGACCGGGCAGCTCCAGGCTGTGGACTTCCCAGGGTGAGGCCCTCAGGGGCCAGCCAGSGGGTGGGGGAGCCTGTTTCCATCTCCCTGGGCCACCTTCCCCTGCTGGGGGCTCACCGGGCGGCTGGGAAGGCCACCAAGGGCCACACCGCGGGGTCTCTGACTCCTGTACCCACAGGTAAACCAGGCATGATACTAGGGTGGTGGCATGTCCCTGCACAACAGGGACGAGTCCCCGAGACGTGTCACTGCATGAACATCACAGAGCCCAGTCACCATGCCCCTGTGCAAGCCACTCCCACTGGCGTGGATGGGTGGTGACCAGSCGCGGCCCCTCAGCTGAGCCTGCTGCTGGGAAATGGCGGTCGCTCCACCCCCCACAATGACACGGGGCTGGGTCACCYGGTGGTGGGCACCAGCCCAGCAGGCCTGCCCTGCCCCGGCTCCACCAGGCGAATAAACCACGGAACCAAGCAGAAGGGCAGCGCAGACTGACCCTAAGACAGCCTGGGCGTCCCCACCCAGCGTCCCACCGAATGCGGTCACTGGGCTGGAGCCCGGTCACTGAGCCACATCCCTGGTCCTTTGTTCTATTTTAAGACGGGGGTTTCACTAAAGTTGCTGAGGCTGCCCTGGGACTCACGGCCTCCTCCACTGCCCGGTGGCCGCGCATGGACACAGCACCTTTATCTCATTCCATCTCTCTCTCTCTCTCTCTCTTTACTTTTTAGATTTGCTCCTTACGCCCACGGCGATGGTGCGGAGCATCAGTCACAGTCCCGGGCTGTCAGCAGGTTCCGCCGCTCACTCGGTGGGAACAGGGTGCTGACGCCTGCTGGGCCGAGGCTGGACCCGGCTGGCACCGCCCATCTGTGTTTGACAGTGACCGTCTCCGCCTGAGCAAGGCTCAGGCTGGACCCCCGCGGGTCCTTCTCTGGGGTCCTGTTCCTGGCCTCCACCCAGGTCCCCAGGCCTGGCCAGGTGTCCCCGGGGGGTGGGGGCAGGGTGGCCCAGCTCGGAGGCCTTGGTGGGGCTCCTGCGTCTGAGGGGACCCGGTTCTGCCGGGTGACTGGGCCAGTTCCTGTCCCTGAGGCCAGGAGGCAGTGGCCGCCTCCGGAAGCCGCTGACTAGAGATGGCCGAGGCACACAAATGGCCGCTGCCCCTGGCGGAGGCTTCTGGAAGGTCCTGACCAGCTCTGCAGCCCAGCAGCAGGCCCTGCCCCTTCCCATGGCGGCCACCTCTCCAGGCCTGAGACTCGGTGGCCCAGGAGGGCAGGCAGGGGTTGGTGGGGGGGCCACCACACCAGATGGGCCAACGGAGGAGAGCACAGCTGGGCACCCCACTTCCTGCCTGAGGAGGGGCAGCTGGCTCCAGGCCCCGCCCCAGGATAACCTCCCTGGGAGCACACAGCCACCCACAGCAGCTGCACCTCSGCTCCCTGGGGACCAGGACAGGCAGGGGCCAGCAGCTGCCACCACAGGACCCGCCCCCTGGGAATGTACCCCCACCAGCCACAGCCACCTCCGGYGGCATTCCAGTCCCAAGGGGTGACCGCCTCCCCACAGTCCAGAAATAACCCTTCCCAGGAGGCCAGGAGGCTGCGAAGAGGGGGCCAGACCCCTGGGCCAAGGTGCCCCCAATCTCACCTCAATAACGGGGAGAGGCTGGCTGCCAGGTCAACAGCCCCCACCTCCGCCTGGGGACAAAGGGGCAGCGGGTKAGCCAAGAACGGCCTGTTCCCTCCCCGCCAACGTGACAGGCACATACTGGCCGCTGGCACTTAGAGGCCCTGCCCGAGCCGCTGGCCAGGCCACCGTGGACAAGGGTCCTCGGTGCCRGGGTGCTGGGGGTGGCCGCGGCCCTAGGGGCTTCCTTCCCAGTCAGCTGCCTCTGAGCTTCCAGCGCCTTCTCTCAAGGAAGTGTGCCCACTGCTAGAGGGCCAGGCCACCAGGGAGGGCCAGGAGCCTACGATGCTCTCAGAGCTGGGAGAGGGAGGCAGCGGCCAGGGGAGGCCCTCCTGCTGCCCAGGCCTCTCCCGGGCCTGGGGTGACCTGAGTGCTGCCCAGAGACCGGCCAGTGCGACCCTCCTGCCCTGGAAGAGGCCGAGCAGGGGCCAGTAGGCCTCAGAGCTGCTCCCATCCCCCAAGCCGCCCACAGAGGCCTCTCAGAGGGCAGCGGGCGGCTGGCGCCAAGAGGCCCGGAGGCGGGCGGGGCCAGGGCCTGCATGTTAAAAGACCCCGGCTTCCTGCCGGGAGCCCGGAGGTGGCCGCAGTGGTCAAGTGCCCCCCGCAGCTGCAGCCACCTGGTGGGGAGCCCGGGGGCCAGGGCCAGCCGGGTGGCCGGATGAAGCCGCAGCTGGGCAGCCAAACAGGAGGACAGCGGTCCCGGAGTCCTCAGGACCTACTGGTGTAAAAAGCCCTCACTGTGCGCCAGGCCTGGCCAGGAGGCGGAGCAGGGGGGGTCAGGGGTTCAGGGCCGGCCTCTGYGACCTATGGAGACTAAGTCTCAACATTGAAAATAAAAAGGGCCGCGTGTGGCTCAGGGGTACGGCACCCGCAGCACCCCAGTGCGTCCCCAGGAAGCAGGCTCAGACCTGGCTCTCCACACRCGCTCTGCTGTGGGGTCACTGCCCGGGCGGCCCTGCTGCCTGCCCCGRCCTGCCTGTCCACGCTCCCTGCATGGGCCCTCCCCTGCAGACCAGGCCTGGTGTCACCTCCCGCTGCCCCACCCCCTTCCTCCCAGCCCCTCCTGGCCCCAAACCTGGAGGCCCCTCTGGGCTCTGCCCACTACTCCTGGGACGCCAGGTTCCCRGCCCTGCCTGCAGTGACCTGAAGGCAAGTCAGGTCTCCTCTGCCCAGAGCTCCCCAGGGCTCCCACCTCCCTGGAGGCCAAGGTCAAGTCCTCCTTATGCCCCCAGGCCCTGCACGGCCGCCCTGTCCCCCTCCCCCTCTGCTCTGCCACACAGGCTCAGCCCTGCCTCAGGGCCTTCACAGGAGCTGTTCCRCCCCTCCTCGCCCAGCCCTGCACCTTCCCAGGCCAGTGGCCCCTCCTGGAACCAGCCCTGCACTGCCCTGCCCTCCCTGGGCCTCCTTTCTGGTGCCCTGTGTGATCTCCTGGTCACCAGGGCCAATCCACCCCAYGTCTCCCCACCTCTAGGAAACTCCGAAGGAAAAATGGATTGGATTTCCCTYGTGTCCTGGTGAAGGCAGCTTCGCCCGGCGTCTCTGCGGAGCCGCCCACCAGAGCTGCAGGTGCGGGCACAGCTCCTGGGAGCCCAGGACTGCCGAGGGAYCGCCAGCGAGTCACAGCCTGCCCTGCAGGTCTCAGGATGGGCCTGATCAGTGCTGGGAAGGACAGATGGCAGGGTCAGAGGGCACACAGGACACCTGGGCCTGGGAGGGACCCTCCAGGACAGAGGCGCCACCTTGTGGCACAGCGTCCCCTGCCTGTCCCTTCTCAGTCCCAGGGGAGGACTGGGTGGGTTTTAAAGCCGGCCTTATGGAAATGGGTTGGGTGGGGGAGGAGACCAGAGGAGAGGACCTCAGAACCGAACCTCGCAGTCAGACAACTCGGGTTCAGTCCTAGGCTGTGGAGCTCCGCTGTGTGACGCTGCATAAGTGACCTGCCTCTCTGATCCTGTTTCCTCSTTCAAAAAACCCGAGAGGATCAAGCTGCAGAACAGGGTCATCAAGTCGCAGCGGAGGCTGGAGCCTCCAGGGTGGGAGGTGTCCTCAGGGAGCCTCCTAGAAGAGTAGGCCTGAGCAGAGGAAAGGACAGAGGGGGACTGTCACACGTGGCACTAAGAAAAGAGACATGACTACAGTGACCAGCGACATCTGAATTTCAGATGGAAAATGAGTCATTTCCAAGTGTCAGTAGATCCCCGATATTTTGTGGGATACACTCAGGCCTCGGATCCGCCTGGAATTCAGAGGCAGTGGGCCTCCCGCCCCCAGGCGCAGCAGGGCTACGGGGCCTCCAGTCAGGAGGGGGCCAGGGACCTGCCCTCCCCACTCTGGAACAAGCCAGGGGCAGGTGCCCTGGACCAGTCCCTGGGGGCAGGAGCTGGTGGGGAGGCTGGGGTCCCTGGGGGCAGGAGCTGGTGGGGAGGCTGGGGTGTGAGCACCCGGGAGGTGGGCCAGGCTGCTGGCCAGGGCCAGCCCACCCTTGGCCCTGCACCATCAGCCCCACGCGGGGCTCACTGCTGCACCCCTTTCCCACCCTGCGAGGCCCAGCCGCTATCCTAAGATGGGGTAAGATGGCCAGGCTGTATTTTCCAAGTCTTCACCGGGTCACAGTCCCCTAGACCAGAGGTCTTCAGTCCCTGGAAAGCCCCAGGCTACCAGGCATGCCTCTCAGTGACCTTTGAGCCTCCAGACCTACAAGGTGCCACTCCACCTYTGCAAGCCCTCCCTGCCTCCCCTCCTCCTGCCCCAGGGCCTTTGCACTGCCCTCTCCCAGGCACACCTTTCTTCCCTGGGGTCTCTCCAGGGTTCCCCCTCACTTCCTTGACTGGAAAGGCCTCCCCTGACCACCCCTGCCATCCCAGGCCTGCACCTGCCTTCCAGATAGGACTCACTATCACCTGACTCCTGATTAGGTCACAGGCTTATCTGGTTTATTGTCCCGTCTCCCACGAGGCGCTGAGTGTCACCAGGGCTGGGCTTTTAATCTGTTTTCCCCACTGTGCCCCCGGACCCAGTACAGAGGTCCCAGGAATGTGGCTGGAGGAATGAAGGAGCTGGAGATCTGGGCCTGCCACAGCTCGACGGGGCAGGCTCTGGCCTGGACTAGCCGCAGGYGGTCACGTACACTGAAAAGTTCTGGTTCTAGGCTGGGTGCGGCTCAGGGGTGGCTCTGGCCCGGGGTGCCCAAGGCCGGGTGCCGGTGCCATCCCAGCACTGCAGAGCAAGCAGGAAAATGCCGGCAACAGTCACAAGGTGCAGAACCCCAGCACGTTCCMCCCAACATCCCAGAAAGTTCTGTTGCACGATGCTGCACAGACCCATCCGACAAGGCACTCGCCTCCCACCCCCACTTCCCCTGCTCTTTCTGGACGCTCCAGAAGCCCCGTGTGACCCACCCAAACCAGCAGAGTGGCCAACTGAGGGCCTGGACGAGGAGCTGGCCCRGCCACGTCCTTCTCTAGGGGGCAGGACCCTCTCCATTCTCAAATCCCAGAGACCTTCGGACCCCCCAGGGGGCCTTCCCCTCAGCAGGGGTGCTGACCCCCCACCCGCCCTGGTTCACACACTTGGTTCAGAGTCAAGGGGACTGGACCCAGTGAAGCTGCTTTGCCACTGAGCTACGTCCCCAGATCTTTTTAAAATTTTTCATTTTGTGACAGGATGTCACTAAGTTGTGGAGTGTCTGGTGAGGTTACTGAAGCTGGGGGGGGGGGCGGGAGATGCTCCAGCCTCAGCGGAGCACCAAGGGGCCTAGCTGTGGGGATAGGGAATAGCTGGGGGAGGGGGGATCCAAGTGACACAGCTTCAGGAAGTGGTTGATCCAGGAGCCAGAGAGGCTGGGGCCTGGACCTGCACTGCCCGCGCTGACAACCTCCGGTCCTCCCTTATCTCATCTGTAAAACGGGGATGACGAGGGGAGGACACAGCGTTGGGAGAACTGGGAGGCTCCATTGGGGCTGAGCAGGCAGCAAACTCGGCGCCTCTTCACCGCGGAAGTTCAAGTTGCTCAGCGGCCGCGTAGCGCTCGGCCATCACCCTGGCGCCCAGGGAGGAGGGCGTGGCCACCCACGAGCTGAGGACCTCACAAAACCATCGCTGGGGACCTCCGGGGAAATTGGGGACTCGGGACCCCAGCGGGCGCCGTGGGTCGCACTCCCCTGCCTGAGCTGAGTTCATCGAGACCCAGGCGARGGGGGTGCCCCTTTTCGGGGTCCGGCGTGGCACCTGCGCACCACCCCGCTCCAGGAGCAGGGCGGGGTCCTGGGGGACCTCACGAGTGGCCGCCGCCGCCGAGCCCCGCGGGGGCGGGGCGGGGACAGGGGCGGGGCGGGCTGCCTCGCCCTGATTGGCCCTCGCGGCCCCGGGGYCCGCCCCCGGGTGGGTGGAGCCGCGCCCCGCCCGCCGTCCAGCCCGGAGCCGCCGAGTGAGTGCTGGCCGCCCGCCGACGCCCCGCGGACGAGGTGAGCAGCTGCCGGGCCGGGAGGGGGCCGCGGCCGGGGGCAGGACCCGCTCGCTCCGGGGCTGAGACCCCAGCGCTTCTCCCCGCCGGACCCCCGAGGGCGAAAGAGCTCCGGGGGCCGCGGGGGCCAGGCCGCGCCCGCCCCGTCCCTCAGACTCGGAAGGACGGACTTTGCCACGCGGAGTGCGGGCCAGTCTCGGAGTCGCCCGGGCCGCGGGCACCGCGGGGCGCCGCCCTCCTCCCGGGTCTTCAGGACGCCCGGGCACCGGGAGGCCATCCCCGGCCTCGCGAGGCCCCCTGCCTTGCAAAGGGTGCTGCCCCCTGAGGCAGCCCCGGGCCCCCCCCTGGCCACCGCTCGCGGGGCGGGTCGAGGGCCGGTTTCCCTGGAGGGGGCGGCGGTCCCGGGGTGCTGCAGGCCTTGTCTGCCCGGGGCTGCGACCCTGCTGGGCTGGGACCACCGCGGTCCTTTGGAATTTCCTTAGTCCACTCTTGAGCCTGCCCAGGCAGCGGCCCTGTGTCTGGGTCAGGAGCTCCTCTGCCGTGGACYTCAGGCAGTTTCCAAGATGAGGAAGTGGGGTTTGGAGTTGAGGGGTTGCAACAAACAGCTCTAGCCAGCTCTCTCTCCCGGGCAGGCAGGACACTGACCCCCAAGGACGGTGGGTGGTGGCCACCCTTGCCGGAACTAGTTCCCGGAGGGCTGGAGGAAGCAGCCCAGGCCTCAGCAGGACTTGGAGGGAGGACAGGGGATTCAGGTGGTGACATCCCCCCTGCCCCGCCTGTCTCCTGGGGTGTTAYTTGCTGGCCCTCTGAGAGCCAGCCCCAGGGAGGCCATCTGGTTGGTTCTGGGCCATAAAAACCAAGAACACTTGTGGCTCAGGTGCCACCGGTACAGTGTGCTTGGACCCACCTGGGGACCCTGTCCTCTCCTGCCTGGACCTGATTGGTCTGCAGTAGGGCCAGGAATGGCCTTTCACTTTTAAAAAACGTATCTGTTTTTTTGGGGGGTGCTGGGGATGGAGCCCAGGGCTTTGAGCATGGATRAAGTGTCTACCGTGGACTGCACCCCCAGCCCTTAAATGGAGGTGCTATTATTTGGCCCCAAAATCAGAAGGCACCTCCCACCCGGCCCAGCCACCTGATCCCCCTCTTYCCTGAAAAGTAGCCACGGTTAATTTTCCTGTCTCTAAGCTTCTGTGCGAAGCAAGCAGGGCATTTTGCACTATTCAAAACCTATTAACAGTACCCGTGAGCCTCTGCATGGGGTAGGTGCACAGGCACACACGCTCTGGCCAAGTGGCAGAGCAGGGGCGGGATCGTCCCTGAAGTGAGCTTTCTGGGTCCAGGGGAGAAGGCTGTTGAGACTGGCAGCTGTGGGTAGTTTGCCCTCGCCAGAGGCTCTGGACCAGACCCACCTCCCTGGACAACAGGTGACACAGCAATCCTCAAAGGGGCTGCTTTTCAAGGTGGCCCTGGGAGCTGCCAGACACGTCAGGGGTGCGGCTCAGTGGTCAGCACTTTCCCCATGTGGAGGCCCTGGGTTCACCCCAGGAAAAAAAAAAGGGATTCAGGGTCAGGTGGGCACCTTGGACCCGCTGCTGCTGACCGAGGCCCACAGGGCACCTCCTGCTCTGAGTGATGAGGACTGGGCGCAGGCGGGGGCTGGGGCTGTCCCTGACCGTCCGCTCTGACCACAGTGCCTGCTGCAGACAGCATGTCTACCCAGGGCTCAGGCACAGAGGCGGACTCTGACACCCAGGTGCCTGCAGAAGGACCAGAACCACAGGTGAGCAGGGCCCTGAGGGCGGGCTCCTGAGGTCAGTGCTGCCTCTCTGGGTGCTGGGCTGTCCCGGGTCCTGGGCCCTAGGGAACCTGGGACTTGGAGGGGACCTCGGGGGGGGACCTGGGGGGCACCATTTGAGGCTCTCTGCCCCTCCCCCAGCCAAACTGCCCCCTCCTGGAGGGTTCCCTTGAGAGTGGATCCCTGATCTGCCGCCACCCCTCTAGGATGGGGCCCCCCGGCAGGTGCCTGCAAGCACTGTCCCCGGCCCTGATTGTTTCAGAGCCAGGTGGCGAGTGGCCGCCCTGCTGGAGCGCACTGTGGGACATTCTTCCTCGACACCCTCCTGGCTCAGGCCCTAGCCTAAAGGTCCCCTTCCCAGGAAGCCCCTGCGGGCCGCCTGCCCACCCCCTTAGTGGCCTTTACTGTGCCTTTGGCTTGGTCCAAGGTCAGCCGCCCTCTGTCGAGGGACAGGTAGTAAACACAGCTCTGTGAGTTGGGCGATTGTCCCCGTCCCCCCCCCCSCCCCCCCCCCCCCCGTCCCCTGCTCTGGTAGCCAGAGCAGCGCAGCGTAGCACCTTGGGGTGGGGCAGCACGGTGGTGCGCCAAGGAGACTCCATGAAGCCAGGCCGCCGGGCGCCTCTCAGCTCTCAGGGCCTGAAGCTCTGCACATGCTGCTCGAAGGGCCTGAGGACGGGGTGCRGGGACCTGCACCAGACACGAGGACATGCTGCGACACCCACCCACAGGCTCCCCAGACTCTCAGATCCAGAAATAGGAAGCTGCGGGGTGGGGCGCGCGCTGGGAGTGGGGAGGCCGCTTGAGTGGGCAGACCCTCCGCTTGGGGAGACAGAGGTCCTGGAGGTGGACAGTGGGGACAGCTGCACACACGGTAACCATGCTTAATGTCCCTGGACTGGGCACTTGACAGGATGAATAGCCGGGCCCAGCAGCCCACGTCTGTAGTCCCAGCTCTTGGGGGGCTCTGGCAGGACCAGCCTGGGTCTCGAAATAAAAACCCCAAAGGGTCGGGGATGTCGCCCGGGCGCCCTGCATTCCATCTCTGTACCACAAGTAAAGTCACCTAGGGTGACGCAGGAAGRCCTCCCGTCTTAGTGCTCGGCCTCAGCCACCCAGGAGCAAGTTCAGGGACAGAGAGGGGTGGGCCGCCAGGGGTGAACACCCTGGTTGGCATCCACTCCAGGACAGGGACAGTGGGTCTCCTGCCTTGTCACTTCCTGGGCGTGGCTGGGGGCCAAGTCACACTAAAGGAATCCACAGGAGGAGCTGGCTGAAGCTCCCGGGTCCTGGCTGTGGGGTGCTGGGTGCAGGAGGGCGGGGCCAGCTTCTAGTCCAGCGTTCTGTCCCCACCTCCCTCCGCCAAGCCCTGAGCGGCCCCTCACCCCACAGCCCAGCGTGGTGGGCCGGGTGGCCAGCATGCCCCTCATCAGCTCCACCTGTGACTTGGTGTCGGCTGCCTACGCCTCCACCAAGGAGAGCCACCCCCACGTCAAGACCGTCTGTGACGCGGCAGAGAAAGGCATCAAGACCCTCACCGCGGCCGCGGTCAGCGGGGCCCAGCCCATCCTGTCCAAGCTGGAGCCCCAGAGTGAGTGACACCCGAGAATGTCCACTCTGGGTCCCGTCCCCCCAAACCACCGGGCCCCCAGCAGCAGTGACAGTCCAACTCTGTTTTGTCCTCCTCCAGTTGCATCGGCCAGCGAGTACGCACACAGGGGCCTGGACAGGCTGGAGGACAGTCTGCCCGTCCTGCAGCAGCCCACGGAGAAGGTGAGGCTGTGTGCGYGGCGGGCGCCCTGGGCCTGCCTCAGGGTCCAGCCTCACTAGCAGAGACGGGAGTCAAGACCCCACGGCCCCCACTTTGCCCAGAGCAAAAGCCACCCAGGTCACTGGCCTTGCCCCAGCCACGTCRGCTTCTGTCCTTCTTCGGGACTGTCACACCTGGGGGTACAGGGCACAGTTGAGACTGGGGGACGTAGTGATGGAAACGGAGCGCTTGGCCTCGGAAGGGGAGCTTGATGGGGGAGGCAGAGAGAACGCACACACCCCTCCGCRTCCTACCCCGGGATCTTTGCACGTCTTCTTTCTTTTGCGTGCTGAGGGGTACCGGGACTGAACCCGGGGCGTTCCGCGGAGGTTCTCACTAAGTTTCTTGGGGCCTCACTGAGTTGCTGAGGCTGGCCTTCCACTCGCGATCCTGCTGCCTCAGCCTCCTGAGCTGCTGGGATGACAGGTGTGGCCGCTGTGCCCGGCTCCCCTGGGCACATTCTCAAGCCTCAGGTCCCAGAGGCCTTCTCTTCCACTTAGAGGAGGTCCTCCCCCTGACCAGCGGCCAGCAGACTTGGTGCGTCCATTCTGCCGCTGCCGTCCATCGCGGAAACTGCCAGCCGCACGCCCCTTGAGCCCTGAGAATGTGACTTTCCTGGTTTTTAAGTCACAGGTTTAGTTGCAGGCGGACACAAGGCCTGTGTCTGATTCATCGTGTGGTGCTGAGGCTCGAGCCAGGGCCTCACACATGCCGGGCAAGCGCTCTGCCACGGAGCCACCGCGCCAGCCCCAGTTCCTGATTTTAACTGCCTGTTCAGTGACGTGTGGCTACTGGTGGCCCCCAGGTGGCCCGGTTCAATCAGCCACACTGTGGACTTTTCCTGCTCAGCCGCTTTTCTGAGATGCAACTAGATGAGGCCACTCGACCCCCCACTGGACACAGTGCCGTATCGTCAGACGCTTGTGTTTCAGCCGTCACCCTTGACTTCAGAACATTTTCGTCCCCCTATAGACCCCATGTCCCTGAGAAGTCCCTCGCTGACTTTCCCACCAAACACCCTGCCCTGCACTGTGGGGCCACGTCCGTCTCTGGGCTCCCTTTCCTGGACTCCCCCGTCACTGGACACATGCTGTAGCCTGGGTGTCTGGCTCTCACTGAGCATCAGTAGATTCATGCACCTGCAGCAGGGGTCAGAGTGTCCTTTGTGGCTGACACCATCCTTCTGTGGACAGCCCTGGGTGTCACCTCTTGGCTCTTAGACACATGTGAACATTTGGTACAGTCACATTCATAATCCCAGCAGCTCAGGAGGCTGAGGCAGGAGGATCGTGAGTTCGAGGCCAGCCTCAGCAAGGGTGAGGTGCTAAGCAACCCGGTGAGGCCCTGGGGTCGTGGCTCAGTGGTTCAGCGCCCCTGGGTTCAACCCGGTGCCAAAAAAACCCCAAACACTTCATATAGCGTGAAACCTGGCGCTGCCCTCGTCCCCGTCCCTTGCACCCTTGGCGTGCCTGGCCTGCGTCCTTCCTGGGGCCAGCCCTGCACCCAGCTTCCTGAGACCCTCCACTGTGACTACCTGTGGATACATGCAGTGTATCCTTCTGCTGCCTGCTGAGCACCTGCTGTATACAGACCTTATGCCCTTGCGAGGCCTGGCTTGGTGAGCGTGGGAGCTGCCAAGGCCCAGCACCGGGGCAGGCCTGGGGGCCTGTTCCAGGCGGATGCTGGCACTGTCCCTCCCACTGATAGCCGCATTCCTCTGGCCATTCCTCAGGGACAGTGCTCCTTCTGTTTATAGAAGGGACGAGCACAGGGTCATGTTCTCCAAGGTCACTCAACAGAGCAGCTGCTCCCGCTCCCAGAGGACGGCCCTCTCCCTGCTGCGGGCCCCCTGAGATGGATTTTCCTCTGGGGAGCGGTCACTTTCCCCAGGTCCCTGGGCAGGCGTGTGGCCAGTGCTGGGATGTGAACTGGGCACAGAACCCCCCTGAGAACTGTGCGTTCAGTTAGCACGGCCGAGGCTGGGCCTCTCCATCCGCCGTCCCTGCTAGATGCCTGACTCTCGGAGGCTAGGAAGCCAGGTGAGGGGCAGTGACCGGAGGCGGGCACGGGGCAGGTGCAGCTCCGTGGTGGAGCGCGTGCCTAGCAGGTGGCAGCCCTGCRTTCCGCCCAGCACCCAGGGTGATAACAGGCCCTGAGAAGCAGTCCCCCCATCCCCGTGTCTAGTCAGAGGTGAGCCCTGGGCGCGACCTGGCCCTTGGCCTGCTGTGGACAATAAAGTTTTATTGGCACGTGGCCACAGCCATCACTCACCCACAGCTGCTGTCTCTGCCCGGGGGACAGAGCCACCCCTGGCCCTGCAGCACCATCTGAGCCCTCTGTGGAGAGTGGCTGACCTTACTGTCCCTTGAGCCCTGCCAGGGTCCAGCCAAGTTCTGCCCTTGGCACAGGCAGCCTGGCCACTCGTGGCCTCCGCTCCTGCAGGAGGGCCACCTGCACCTTGTGCTGTCCGGTTGGCTGGGCGGCCTGGCTCCTGTGGGCGCTGGGTCTTAGCACAGGGTTCCGGAGCCCTGGGTGCCCTGTCCCCCGCCCTCCGGGGAGTGGAGACGCTTGACCGCCGTGTGGGCGGAGGGACGCTGACGTTGGCCTGTCTCCTAGGTCCTGGCGGAAACCAAGGAGCTCGTGTCGTCCAGGGTGTCTGGGGCCCGGGAAATGGTGTCCGACACCGTGTCCAGCGCCAAGGATGCTGTGGCCACCCGAGTGTCGGGGGCAGTGGACGTGACCCGTGGGGCTGTGCAGAGTGGTGTGGACATGACCAAGTCCATGGTGACCAGTGGTGTCCACTCGGTCATGGGCTCCCGCGTGGGACAGATGGTGATGAGCGGGGTGGACACGGTGCTCTGCAGGTCGGAAGAGTGGATGGACAACCACCTGCCCATGACGGATGAGGAGCTGGGTGAGTGTGCCAGGCCCGGGGCCCTCCTCAGCACGGCCTCTCTGTCTCCTGGAGTCTGTCACCTGCTGCCACCTGGGCTCACCTCTGCCTTCCCTGCAGCAGCCACCAGAGGGCAGCATGAGCACCTGAGTCAGGCCCTCCCCCTGCCCACAGCCCTCTGTGGCTCCCACTTCCCTTGGTGTCAAAGCTCAAGTCCTCCCTGTGGCACCTGCATGACGCGTCCCATCCCCTCCCTGCCCCCTGCCCCATCTGCTGCAGCCACATGAGCTCCCCGCCTGGCTCCAGGCTGTTCCCTGCTTCCGTGGCCCTGACAGGCCGCTCCCTGCGTCCCTCTGGCCCCAGCTGAAGTCCACCCCTGGCCCCGCCCCATCTTTCCTCTTCAACTTTGACCCAGACCGTGCCCTCTGGGCGGGCAGAATTCTGACCACTGCTGTATACACTGCTGGGTGCCCAGAGCCTGGGGTACAGTCGTGGTGCTGGGGGCTGAGCCTCCCCAGCCCTGGATGGACGCCTGGCTGAGGGGCAGAGTGCCTGGAGCGGGGTTGTGTTTGTCTGGGGTTTGGAACCAGGGACTGAGCCCAGGGGGCTCCCCAGGAGCCACGTTCCAGCCCTCTTCATTCTTTTGAGACAGGGCCTCGCTAAGTTGCTGAGAGCCTCATTAATTTGCCCAGGCTGGCCTCAGCCTCCTGAGCTGCCGGGAGCACAGGTGTGGCCACAGCAGGGACGGTCTCAGGATCTGTTTTTCTCTGTGGTGCTGGGGATGGAGGCCGGGGCTGGGCCAGGCCTCCACCCGAGCTGCACCCTCTGTGGGTGATTTCATTCAAGGGTCTCAGCACCTGGAGCCAGGCCCCATCTGGACTTGGGGACATGCAGTGCCCACCTCTGGAGCGGAGGATGAATGTGAGGGACAGGGTGTGGGGGAGCTGGGCGCAGTGGGGGTCAGCTCAGAGCAGAGCCTGGCGGGGAGGGGCCTCGGTTACCCCTGGGGGCAGGAGGGATCGGCTGCCCGGGTCCTGGGTGGGGCGAGCGCAGGGGCTCAGAGGCCACCGTGGTGGCCTGGACAGGAGGGAGGAAGGTGGACCCCTGAATCAGCAGGGGGTGGCTCTTCTCTGGGGGCTCCTGAGTCCTGCTCAGGGGCTCACAGGCCACTCATGGCTCGGGGTGGCCTGAGCTGTGGCGGTGAGAGCCGCATCTGCTCCCCCCAGCCCAGGGCACCTCCTGGTGGCAGGGCCACTGTCTCCCCTGGCACCACAGGCCCAGGAAACAAAACTGCTGTCACCGAGGGCACAGCTCCTGGCGCGGCTCCCGGCCACAGCTGGGGACTTTGTGTTTGCAGCCTGCCTGGGTGGCACGGTGGGGCCGCCCTCCCTGGGGACACAGGTGGCCCACGTGCTGGTCACCTTTGTTTCTGTTTCATACTTATTTTCAGTTTTTCACACACACACAGGTCCACGCATCTGTGGGGGGTGTATGGCTTTGTCTTTTTCCAGAACTCGGGATCAAACCCAGGGGCCCTGTTCCCCCGAGCTGCACCCAAGCCCCCCACCCTTTTTGAATAGTTGGACAGCATGCCTTGATTTTTTTTAATATTGATTTTTTAGTTGTAGGTGGACATAATACCTTTATTTATGTATTTTTATGTGGTGCTGAGGATCGACCCCAGGGCCTCGCCCGTGCTAAGCCAGGGCTCCACCACCRACCGCCAGCCCATCCGGGTGGTTAAAATGTCAGGGGCAAAGCCCTGGCCGCTCCTGGGGGCGGCCGCCATGACCCGSGAGCTCCTGCCTCCCGGCCCCCTCTGTGCTGAAGAGGCCACGTGGGGGACGTTCTAGTGTCAGCCGCAGGGCACGGCTGCAGCCCTCCTTTCCTGTGCGTGCATTGAACCAGCCGCAGCGCACCTTTGTGTCTGTGCCCAACAGGCACAGGTATTCTTGTCCTTGTTCCCCCAACGACACGGCCTGTCGGCACCACGGAGGTGGCCTCTGCGGAGGCTGTGCAGACGCTGCGCCACACTAGGCGGGGACTGGAGCATCCGGGGATTGGATACCCGGGGTCCTGGGGACCCTTGTACTGCGGCGAACTCCTCCGCGCGTTAGCGAGTCCGTGAAGCCAGAGGCCGGCAGACCTGCCCCCGAGGGCCCAGCGTGGGGCCTCAGTCCTGCCCGGTGTGGGGGCCCCTTCCTCCCCTGCGCGGTGGGGCAGTGGAGGCCAGTGGGGCAGTGGAGGCGGAGGCCTGCATCCCAGGGCCTGGCCAGCGCCGGCGCCGGGTGGTCTGTGGCACTGGGTGGTTGCCCTCTGCCTCACCAAGGCCCCTCTGCCCGCAGCGCGCATCGCCACGTCCCTGGAGGGCTTCGACGTGGCCTCGGTGCAGCAGCAGCGGCAGGAGCAGAGCTACTTCGTGCGCCTGGGCTCGCTGTCGGAGCGGCTGCGGCAGCACGCCTACGAGCACTCCCTGGGCAAGCTGCGCAGCACCCGGCAGCGGGCCCAGGACGGGCTGCAGCAGCTGGCGCAGGCGCTCAGCCTGGTGAGCGGGCGGGGCGGGGCCGGGCGGGGCTGGTGCTTCCCTAGGCCCGCCAGGGCTGGCAGGGCCATCTTCTCTGTCCTCTCTGTTGCCCTTCCGTGGGCATCTGTCCCAGTCCCCTCTTAGGAGGTTCTGTTGCGTCCAGGCCGCCAGATGTCTGTGTCCCGTCACCCCCTCTGTAAAGACCCACCTCCAAGCCCAGCCCCTTCGTGGGTTCTGGGGCTCTGGGCTTCAACGTGTGAATTCGGGGCACAGCGCAGCCTGACCGGGTGGCTGGCTCTGGGCCTCAGCGCACCCTCCTCCAGCCGGTGGCCGAGGTGCTTTCCATGGCACCAGCCTGGGGTCCCAGACGCCACGCGCAGTGGACCTGGCCTTTAGGTGCTGTCAGGCGGACGGCAGGTGGAGTCCAGCTGGGCCGCACTTCCCGAGCACGTGGGCGGTCCTGGGGCCACCCCAGCACAGAGGGACAAAATCATGGGAGGCCCCACACACGCTAAGCGCTACCCCTGAGCAGCAGCCCAGCCCACCTTCCCCATGTCAGGGCGCACAGTCCAGCAGCCTGGCCATCCACTGGGTGCCCGGCTCTCAGTCCCCAGTAAAGCTCCTGTCCCTCCCAGCCCAGCTGTCACCACGCGGCTTCTGGCTCTGGACTGCAGGGACCTCCTGGGGGTGGACCCTGTGTGTCCTTTTGTGAGTAGTTTTAGCATCATGTCCTCGAGGTCCCTCTACCTGGGGCCAGCTGTCATTCTGTCCCTTCTCCCGACTGAGTAGCATCGCACGCAGTGCTTCCCATGCTGTCACCCCCAGCCACCAAAGCCAGTCCGCGGTCAAGGCCATGTCTGGCTGCAAGGGACAGAGTAGATGGGTTGGAGTCACCACAGAGCACGTGAGGCCACTTTCTCTGCTGCCCCTGACCACACGGGACACAAGGGGCTTGAAGTTTTTGAAGTCCCCAGAGGCCTTGTGGCCACAGAAATGGCCTCCGACCCCCCCCCAGACCATCTCATGGGTCAGATGGGAGCAGAGGGTCCCGGGGCACCCTCTTGTCCCCCGTGCTGGCCTGTGTGACGCCGCGATGCTGGGCGGTGCAGGGGCGCGGAGGTCCTCCCCTCACCGGCTCTCTCCTGCAGATGGAGACCGTGAAGCAGGGTGTGGACCAGAAGCTGGTGGAGGGCCAGGAGAGGCTGCACCAGATGTGGCTCAGCTGGAGCCAGAAGGAGCAGGGACCMCAGGGCACCGAGAGGGACCCAGCCAAGCCAGAGGTACCCGGGCGGCCTGGGTGCTGGGGCCCAGCACGTGGGACCTTCCGTAGGACCAGGTCGCGGGCTTGAGCTCGGGCGTGCGTGGTTACACCTGCCCAGCTCACAGTGCCAAGGAGCAGAGCCGGCCCCGTGCCCGTGGGCAGATCCATGGGAGGTGCCCCATCCACGCTGTCAGCTGTCCCTCGGCCACCAGCAGGAGCCAGGTGACACRCTGCAGTGCGGTTGGACCTGAGGACCTGGTGCTCAGGATGAGATACACAAGGCCACACAGAGTGACCGCAGTGACAGGAGAGTGCAGAGGCAGGACCCCGGCAGGGACAGGGCTGTCGTGGGGACGGCCTTCCTTTTGGAGAGGTAGAATGTTCTGGAATTAGAGGCCGTGGTCACGCCTCATGCAAACAGACTAAAGGGCAGCGTGTGGCCCCCTGACGGAGAGACGTGGTAGACGTCCTTAGATACCAAAGAGGAGACTGAACACATTGAGATGTCACGCGCTTTGTGATCAGAGCACACGTCATGCAGGCCTGGACCGCCCAGGACTGTCCCCGGGCCCCAGTGCCGCACGCGGCAACCAGAAAACGGTTTCTCTGATGAGCAAAGCAGATCTCGTCTCCCAGGTCACACCGTCCCCAGGTCCAGGCCCAGAGCCCTAGCTGCCGAGGCCACAGGCACAGTCCCCTGGCCACTCTTGTCCCCTGCTGGACGGGTTCTCAGTGACCTGACTGACTCTCCTGGTGGCCCCTGCCCAGAGGTCCTCCCAGGACTCTGCCTGGCGTCTGTGACCAGCAGCCTGAGGCTGAGGTGCACACTGAATGTGCGTCTAGAGCGCCCGCGTGTCTGCCGGGTGGCCCAGCCCGCAGCCACGTCACTGTCTGCTCTCACACATTCCATCACCCCATAAGGTAGCCCTGTCCCCGTGAGCAGTGTCCCTCCTGCCCAGCCCTGTACCCCTGAACCCACATCCTGTCTCTGAACTCTCCACCAGTGGAGTCACAAGTCCCACCCTGTGGCCTGCTGGTCTGGCTCTCGCTGAGCACCAGGTCCTCGCGTCCCCCACACTGAGCTGTCACCTGGCTCCTGCTCATGGCCGAGGACGCTCCAGGTGTGCGGGGGCAAGTGTGCCCACCACTCCTGCAGCTGGTGGGCTGCGGGCTGTGGGCGGTGTCCTTGTGTGGATGCCCACTGGCACTTCCCCTGGTCACTCACTGTCATCCCTGTCTCCTGGGGCTGGTCCTGGTGCTGACCCAGAGCTGCAGATGTTCTAGGCACTTCTGGGATGGCGCGGTGTTTGGTAGCAGACACCCACCACCTCGCGCTCACGGCAGCTTTAGGTGGCTCATGGTAGATGGGCCAGTGTCATTGCTGCACAAGGGATTGACACCACAGTGTCATTTGGGGGAGATAACAAGAGTAAACAGCCTGTCCACGTACAGGAAATCTGTTGGGACGCTGTTCTGTCCTGCGGGTGGCTGGATGCGCAGCCGTGGAACCCACGGGTACCATCCGAGCGTGCGCACACGAGCTGCCCGTCCTGGGGTGACTCCTGGGTCACCTTTTTCTTTTCTGTTTTTATTTTGGGCTGGGGTGGACCAGGGCCTTGCGTGTGGCAGGCAAGTGCTGCAGCAGGAGGGCCCCTCCGGCCCTGCCCCCACCTCTTGTGGGTGGGGTGCCCCCTCGAGGCTGGCTGTGGCCCCAGGAAATGACCAGGGCTGGGTTCGCCGGCAGCCCCCATGAGCCCGGCCGCTCAGCGCCGCCCACTCACCTTCCCAGAGCACCAGTGCTGTGTTGGCACTGGGGCGGGTCCAGCCGTGATCCTGCACTCTGCACGCTCAGCCCTTTTTATTTACTTATTTATTTATTGGTACCAAGAGTCGAGCCCAGGTCTGCTTCACCACCGAGCCACATCTCCAGCCCTCCTCCCATTTTTAATGTTTTATTTTGAGATAGGGTCTTGCTGAGGCTGGCCTCCACCCTATGATCCTCCTGTCCCAGCCTCCCCAGTTTCTGGGATCAGGTGTGTGCCACCGTACCCAGCCAGCGATCGTTCCTGATGGTCCTCACTGTCCCCGCAGCAGGTGGAGTTGCAGGCGCTCACCATGTTCCGGGGCATCACCCAGCAGTTGCAGACCACCTGTGCCTCCCTGGCGTCCAGCATCCAGGGGCTGCCCTCTCAGGTGAAGGACCAGGTGCAGCAGGCCCGCCGCCAGGTGGAGGACCTCCAGTCCACCTTTGCCAGCATCCACTCCTTCCAGGACCTGTCCGGCAGCATCCTGCTGCAGAGCCGTGAGCAGGTGGCGAAGGCCCGAGAGGCCGTGGACCGCACGGTGGAGTTCGTGGCCCGGAGCACCCCCGTCACGTGGCTGGTGGGGCCCTTCGCCCCCGGGATCACCGAGAAGGCCCCGGAGGGCGGCCCGGGAGGGAGCCAGGCTGGCGCTGCCCCCCCGCCCGAGGGGCCCCGCAGTGAGGAGCCGGCCCCTGGCTACTGAGGCCTGCTCAGGCCTCAAGCCACAGGTGACATTTCCAGGCAAAAAATTTTCCTAGAAATTTCCAAAAGATTTCTTTTTCCTTCAGTAAGAATCCACCGTCACCTTAGCTGTCACAGGTCGTCCTTTTCTCCACCCAGGCCCCGTCCCGGGCGCTCCTAAGTGGCCTTGGGCTTGGTCTGAGAGCTGGCCCCCGGCCCCCGCCTGTTGTGGACCAGGAGCGGCTGAGGCAGCTGCGCCGTCCTTAATAAACACTTGTTCCTCTGCCCCGCGTGAAGGCAGGCCACGTCCCTTCCCTACTTCTCTGTCTGTCTGTCATCTCTGCGCAGCTGGGATGGAGCCCGGGGCCCGTGCTGGGCAGCTGCTCTGCCCCTGAGCGGTCCCCAGCCCTTTGGTCTGCTCTCAGTCCTCGGGGGACATGCACCTTTATCTATTTTATGTCGTGGGAGGGGGCACCCACTTTGCCAGGCGAGCGCTGCCCCTCTGAGCCTCCACTCCCGCCCCGGGCTGGGCCGGTTCCTACTCCTGGAGGCCCGGAAACCTGGGAGGCCGGTCTCCTGGGGAGGCCTTCCTGCTGGTTTGGTGTTGGTTTGTTTAGTTTTTGGTTCCAGGGATTGAACCCGGGTGCCCCACCCCCAGCCACGTCCCCAGCCCTTTTTGGTTTTCGTTTGAGACGGGGTCCCCTCGGTTGCTTGAGGCCTTGCTGAGTCGAGAGGCTGGCCTTGAACTAGCCACCTTCCTCCTCAGCCTCCCGAGCCGCTGGGGTGGCAGGAAGAGGCTCCTGCTGGGTCGTCTCGCTGTGTCCAGCTGCAGTAAGGCAGGACGCGGGTCCTGGTCATGAGAAGAGGCCTCCTGACCTCAGGGCTGCCTGGAACCGCTGCCCCTTGGGCCTCTCCTGACACTGGGCCCTGCTCCCTGGTGCTGTCCGCTGTGTCTCTGGCGGCTGAGCAGGCCAGGGTGGCCGCCATCGCCACACAAGGTGGCTGGGAGGCGTGGCCGAGTCTGCCTCCCGCCCCACACACTGGGGTCAGCTCCCCGTCCCCCTGGGTTGGAGCAGGTGCCTTGGGGGCACTGGTGTGGCAGGACCCCGAGGCCCACGCCCCTCTCCCACACCTGCAGGGTGTCACTTCTCTGGCAAAGGGTCCCCAGGCCGAGCTCTGGCCTCTGCCTCCTGCTCGGGAGGTGGCTGATGGCACCCCACGTCCCCCCATGATGAGCCCCCCTCTCCAGAGCCGGATCAGGGCTCCACGTCTCTGTCCTGGAGTGGACCTGGCGCCCTGCTCACAGTGGCAGGAGGATGTCTGTCTCCCACCCACCGCCTGGGAGGCCCAGAGCGCCCTGCACACAGTAGGTGCTCAGGTCGGTCTCTCCCCCTGGAGAGCGGCCCTGCTTCCCCACACCTGCCCCAGGGCCCCCAGGGATCCTGATGGAGTCAGGGGTGTGGTCACTCCAGCTGACCCGCCACCCCCTCAGCCACCAACGAGGTGCCCGAGATCTGGCACAGTCCCCAAGGATCGTCCAGTGTCTTGCCACAGACCTCGTCACCACAGGCCATGCCACATACACGTCACTCCTCATTATGCAGGTCGAGTGGCTGCGGGACCGGTCACTTAATGGGGGCGGAGATGCAAAGTACACCCGAGTCATCTTAGGTTCAACTGTGTCACGCTGTGTTGGGGCTGGCGGGGTGGCCTGGTGACCAGGGCAGGCTCGCAGGCCGGGGCACCACCCCCAGGACGGCAAGAAGACACCAAGACCAAGAGGCGGTGGCCCAGCGGGGGTTAGGGTGACCAGCGCTCCCTTGGCCCTGGCGGCTGGGACACCATCACCCTAACTTCTGGGGTTCTGCGCGGCGTCCCCGTCCCCGCCGGCCACCTCCAGAACTGTTCCCGCCCCAAACGAAACCGCCGCGAGGAGCCCCGCCCCGCCCTGGCGCCCTGCTGCTTCCTCCTTGGAGGTCGCGGGCGGGGACCTGGGGGAGGTCGGTGCCCGCGCGCGGCCCTGGGTCCAGAATCGCAGGGGGAGCAGGTCTCCTCGGCTCCCTGTCCTCCTGTCCTCGGGTCCCCTGCCCTCCGTCCCCCGTGGGGCGGGACCACGTGGCGGTGCGCGCCGGGGACTTTCCCCTGAGGGCGCGGAGGCGGAGCGCACCCTGCCCAGASGCAGAAGGGGCGGCGCCTCTCCCGAGAGGCCACCGCGGCCACCCACAGGACCCAGGGCCACCACCGTGGCCACCCCGTGGACCAAGGACCAGCACCAGGGCCGCGGCCTGGGTACGTGGGGACTGGACGGGTGGGCACGGGGCTGGGAGTGACCCTTCCTGTCCCTGGGCGCCACCTGTGTCCCTCTCAACCCCTCCTGGGACACAGGTCCAGTGGCCGCCTGCACCCCGCCCAGCCGCCACTTCCCCCAGGACCCCGAGGACCCGACGGCCGCCGCTGCAGCGCCTGCCCCAGCACGGGGGGAGGGGGTGGCTCTCGGCGCCCAGCCCAGCAGAGGCCGTGTCATGGCTTTTCCTGGCGGTGGCTAAAGTGGGACTTGGGGAGGCCACCGCGGTGGGAGCCAGGCGCCTGGAGCCCAGGGGGAGCGGGGACCTGTCCCTGCCCCTCCTGGAGGAGGAGCCGCGACGCCAGCGGGGACACTGGGCACACCACACACCGTAGGGACGGTCACATGCCCACAGGGGACCATGGTTAAGACAGCGAAGGTGACCAGGCCACCTCTGAGGTGTGGATGTCCGCAGCCTCCCCGCGGGCCGGGCCTGAGGAGGCCTGGACGCAGCATGGGGGACAGCCCGAGCTTGGCACAGGCAAGAAATGCAGGTCCTGGAGCAGCCGCCCGGCCACCTTGCTCCTGGCAGAGGCTGGCCACCGGCCTCGCCCCTCGTCCTCCCTTCCCCTCCTCAAGGGGGCAATTCAAAGAGCCCAGCTCGGGTGTCACTTGCTGGCACAGGGCCTGGTGTGTAGTAGGTGCTCAGTGAACTCCTGTTGCACAGATGCAGCCGTCGGCGCAGCCCAGTGACCGGGCCTTGTCCTTCAGCCCGGCTCCTCATAACAGAGTTTTTAAGTGACACTTTTATTTATTTTTAAATTTCTGAGATGGGGTCTCACTGTGTCACCCAGGCTGCCGGGAACCTGGGCTCAAGAAGCTCCTGTCTCCGCCCCCCAGGGGCGGGCCCTGCCCACACACCTGGCCTCCTGGACATTGTTTTATTAGCCAGGAGGGACGGCACCACTGTGGGCCAGTCCTGAGGGAGCAGGTGAGACTCACCATCTTGGTAGGGAGAGAGGATCCAGAGGCAGGAAGCACGCATGGAGTGCTTACTGTATACCGGATGCCCTCTGCCCAGTCAGCTGATTGGATCATTGAGTACTCTGTCAGTATTGATTCATTCACTCAGCGTTTAGTAAGCACCTACTGTGTACCAGGCACTGTGTGGTTCTTTCACTGATTATCTGGCCAGCATCTACTGAGCGCCAATACAGCACTCTGGATACAGCACGAACAAGGCCCAGCAACGTCCCTAGCCTGTGCCTGGAGGCTGCCTGGGGAGGCTCTCTCCAGTAGGAAAGGATGGCTACTCCCCATCGTAAATAAGTGAAGTCTGTAGTGTCCCCTGGTGAGAAGTGGACATGAGGAAAATGAGGCAGGGAGGGGTGGGGTGGTGCTGGTCAAGTGGGTACTGGGGAAAATGCTGAGGCATGGCCTGTGCAAAGGTCCTGAGGCAGAGGCAAGCCTGGGACAGTGCACCAGAACAGAGAGCAAGGAGCAGGAGATGCTTGTCCTCAGGGAAGATGCGGGGTGTCTCCGAGGAGCAGTCGTGCCTAACCCAACTGCCGAGTCTCCTTCCGGCCCCAAGCCAGCTCCTCACAGCCTCCCATCCCGTCCATCTGCTTGTCCTGTGGGCAGTGACCCCCACTGCCACCAGCCTCCACCTGGTCCCAGCTTCTGCCCGTGCCCCACGGCCTGTCGGCCCTGCAGTGGCCAGAGAGTGCTGTGAACGGATCCCTCCTCCCAGTGCCCACAGCCCTCCGCGGCTCCCACCTGCCTCCTGGTCAGAGCCCAATCCCTGCCCCCTCCTCTGCTTCAGCCCCGGCCCCCACAGGCCAGGCCCAACCTGCCCCAGGGCCTGTGCACAGCGGTGCCTCTGCCTGAGCCCCTGGGCCTGGTCTGCATCCGACTTGTCCCCGCTTCCTTCAGGCCTCAGCTCAGAGGCGCGTCCCCCAGGCCCCGGGCCCCCAGCCCCCACTCCGCGGCACCCGCTGGCTTCCTGCAGGCGCTTTCCATTCTCGAGATGATCTGGCTCTTTTCTCATTTCCTGTTGGTCTCCCTGGAGTGACGTGTGCCACACGGGGCGGAGGAGGTGCCCGTCCCTGCCTGCAGAGCACTGAGCCGCGTGCGCACAGTAGGTGCTCAGTAAATGCTCGTTCTGTGGAGGACACGCGGGGCACGCGGGGGACCCAGGGACCAGGAAGGTGCGTCCCAGACACGGGGAACAGATCCTCCAGCGCCGAGGGTGACGCTGGCCCCGGTGCCGCATGGCCAGGCCAGCGTCCAGGGCAGGCCACGTCGTCCAGCGTGGGGTGGACCCAGGGACCCTGCATGGGGCGCTCTGCAAGCTGCACCCTCCCCCAGGGCCACTCTGATGCGAGGTCCCAGTGGCGGGGACTGAGGCCGAGACGCCCCGAGGTCTGTGCCCACCCTGGGGGGGGGGACTCTGTCCCCAGGCCGTGGGAGGTTCAGCAGATGACCCGAGCTCAGTGGGAAGGACACGGGGACAGCGTCCAGCGAGTCCGGCTGAGCTTGTGGGCTCTGGGCCTCCGGGGTCAGGGTCCCCCAGGTCCGGTGCCTCAGGAGCAGCTGCGCTGACTCCCACCGCGGCCTGGGGCCCTGTGCTGTCCCCCAGAGGGACAGCGGGACCGTGGACCCTTCCCACAGACAGGAGGGCTGAGGCTTCTGGGAGGACCGGGGATGGAACCCAGGGGCCTTAACCCCCGAGCCACCTCCAGCCCTTTTTAAGGATATTTTGTCAGTGTCAGGCCTCACTGAGTGGCTGAGGCTGGCCCTGAACTTGCCATCCTCCTGCCTCGGCCTCCGAGCCCCCGGATCACAGGCCCGTGCCACCCGCCCGGCTGCACTGAGGCTCCCGCGGTGCACACCAGGGCCTCTCGGGGGTTAGGCTGCTGCAGACTCGCCGTCCTCCCTCCTCCACCCAGTGCTGAGGTGACCGCGTGGGCCACTGCGCCCGGGGACGCAGTGTGCACCGGGCCTGTCCAGGGGCTCAGCCTGGCGCTGGCCACGCTGGGAGCTGAGCCCCAAGCCTGCTGTGCCCTCTGCTCAGCGCTCAGGTGACTCCTCAGGTGGCGCCTGGTGAACGGAAGCCCTCAGCCCTGGGGACCTTGGCGCCTGCGTGCCGTGGGAATGGCCGCCCAGGGCGGGTCAGCCGATGGGCTTCCGCGGGACCCAGAGCCAGCCTCCACACAAACCGCCTTGGTCACCAACCTGATTCCCAGCGGCCCGAAGGGCGGCCTCAGGAAGCTCCGACCTTGTTTCCATTCCACATTTTCACATTTCATGGAGGTCACCCGGGTTCCCCCACGGAGGCTGCGGGGACACCAGGCACTGCACACCACCGTCAGTCAGTCGGCCACCGCGGTGTTTGTTTGTCCTGGGGGTTGACCCAGGGTGCTCCACCCCTGAGCCACAACCCCAGACCCAGCCACTTTTATTTTGAGACAGGGTCTCACTAAGTTGCCTGAGAGGCTGGCCTTGAACTTGTCATCCTCCTGCCTGAGCCTCCCGAGTTGCTGGGACGGGTGTGGCACCAGTGTTTGTCTTGATTAGGGCACAGTTGTTTCCGGGAGCCATCGGGGAGTGGCAGGAACCCTTGACCTGAGGACCAAGCTCTGGAGGGACATATCAGTCCATGGCTTAAGTAGTCATCTGGGTAGTTTCAGAAACTTTAGACTAGCTTGTGGTCCCACCTGAATATAAGATCCTTGTCGTTTTTCCCCTGAGTGCTGAGTTCAGGTCAGGGAGGGGGAGCGCGGGTCCTGCCTCCTCGGCCCTCTCCGGTTCCGGGGGAAACATCTTCCACCCTCCACTTCTCTCGGGAGGGCCGCACCCCAGCCCTCTGTATTTTTTATTTTGAGTCAGGTCTTGCTAAGCAGCCCAGGGTGGCCTCAAACTTGCCATCCTCCCGCCACAGCCTCCATCCTCCTGGGACAACAGTGTGGCCGCTGTGCTGGGTGCCCGTCTTCTCAGGAGGACCTGTCCTGTGGGTCAGGGTCCCCGAAGGCCCCACTTCCACTCAACTGCCCCATGAGGACTGTCCTCAGTGAGTTCCCCTGTAAGGTGCCGAGGGCCCGGTCTTGAGGGCCCGGCCTTTAGCACACGACTTGGGGACGACACGGTGCAACCTCATGGCAATGATGACGCGTGGCAGACAGAGGYGCTCGGCCTGTGGTCACAGACATGGGCACCGAATGGCTGCCTGCCGTGGAAGGGAAAGACACGGCCTGCCGGTCCCCTGACCCGTGTGGCAGGCGTCCTCTGTCCAGGGCCAGATGGCGCCTGCTGCGATGCAGTGAGGAGGCAGCCTTGGCCACGTGTGGGCGGGAGCGTGGCTTGATGGACAGATGGGGACTGCGTTGCTTGTCGCTGCGATGTGATCAGGTGGCCTGGAGGAGGCGGGGCCGAGTCCTGGGGAGGCCTGGGGCAGCTGAGCTCCAAGCAGAGAGTCAAACCGGGCGCCGCGGCCCGCGCCTACCATCCCAGGGGCGGTGGAGGCTGAGGCAGGAGGATGGCCAGGGTGAGGCCAGCCTCAGCAACTTAGCAAGACCCCGTCTCAGACTAAGTCAAGAAGGGCTGGCTGGGGTGGCTCGGAGCTGCGGGGCCCCGGGTTCCGTCCCCTGAATAGAGGGCCCGAGGTGTGACCCCGGCTCCTTCTGCTCTCAACCTTCCGCCACAGGAAGAAGGCCCTGTCCGAGGGGCCACAGTCCGGGACCTCAGACCTCCCGGAACACTCGCTCTGCTCCTCACGACCCGGCGGGCCGCCCGCTCCTTATGGCCGCACACAAAGGACAGGGACGGCTCTGGCTCCTGGGAGCTCACAGGTGTGCCGGGCGGCATCCCCTTGGTGAACTGGCCTGAGGTGAGTCGCAGCCACTGACTGACCTGAGGTCTAAGTGGCTCCCGGTTTTCAAGTCCCTTTCTCCTCTGCCCCCCCACAGCACCCCCTGGCTCCCACCTCCCTTGGGGTCAAAGCCCCCATCCTCCCTGTGACCCCCAGGCCCTGTCCTCCCTGCCGCAGTCTCTTCTCCCCGTCCCCTGGCTGCTTCTGGGTGCCTCCAAGGGCCAGGCTCCTCCTGCCCCAGGGCCTTTGCACTGCTGTGCCCACCTCCCAGAGCGCTGCCGCCGCCCAGGGACCCCATCATGTCTCATTAGGCTCCTGCTCCCCTCGAGGCCACCCTGGGCCACACTGTGTGACTCGAGCCCCAGCTCCACGCCGGGCACTGTCTGCCCTGCTCCCTGGCAGGCTCTGGGAAGGGGGCCATCTGTTTGGGCCCCACTGGGCAGTCAGCTCCCATTCTTCCCGGGTCCCCTCCGGAGCCATTCTCCGCCCCCTCGGCTTCCCTCGGTCCTTCCTGGACTCCTGCCCCGGGGCCCCGTGGACCTGCTCAGGGTGACCTTGTTGAAACCCTGCATCATGACCTGGGCTCCACTGGGCCACCGGAGCTGAGGCTGATGGACGCCAGGCCCCCGGGCACTGTGGGCCGGGGCCGGTCACTCTCTGGTGTGGGCGTCCAGCCACCAGCCTCCGCCCCGGGCAGCCTGGGTTGAGGGGCAGGCTCTGGGCTGCGCCTCCCACGAGGGTGGGCGGRAGGTCCCGGCTCCCGGCCGAGGGCAGGGGACATGTTCCCAGGCCGGGAGATGGCGCCAAGGCTGTTCCCCAGGCCTGGACGGGGACCTGGTGGCCTAGTGCGGGGCTTGGGATGCTGTCCCCAGGGTGTGGGCCTGGCTCTCCTCACCCACAGCCCGAGCGCCTTCGCCTCCACGCCCGGCCAGTCTGGAGGGGGGTCAGGGCCCAGCTGCTCCCTGCAGGCCCCGTCCATGCAGGAGGGGGGACAGGGAGGCTGAGACCTGGGTGAGGAGACCCAGCAGGTGACAGGGAAAGAACAGCCGCCAGGCCGGAGCCCGCGGTGCACAGAGCCCGAGCTGGACCCCAGCTGGCCTCGCAGCCAACCGGAGCGCAGGGCCCGGCTCCCAGGAGGCCTGGCAGCCCCGCCGCGGACACAGCGGCAGGCGACCGTGGTCCCTGCACGTCACCGCGTGGGCTGTATCGGCCAGCGGTACTGCCAGACAGAGCCCCAGGACTCTGGCCGCACGCGCAGAGGTCCATCAGACAGTCACCACCTCCCGGCTCGGGGTCCGGGATGGAGGGGTGCGTGGCGGCTTGGGGGCTCTGGCACTCAGGACACTGCAGGGGGACATCACAGGGGTCCCCTGACCTGGGCTCCGCTGGGGCCACAGGAGCAGCTGCCAAGGTGGCGGGGGGCGGGGGGCCTAGGTTCCTGGCCACAAGGGTGTCTCCGGGGGGCTGCTCACCGCATAGCCGACCCCACAGCGCTAAGGAGAGCCAACCAGGGCTGCAAGTCCCTGTCCCTGCCACCTCCTCTTAGTTAATGGAGCAGTAGCACATAGCACTCCAGGGCCTTCCACGTTTGTGAACACCAGATTGTGCGTCCCCAGGCCGTCCAGGTGGCCGACGCCTCCTGGTGGGCAGGCCCAAGCGCCTGCTGGTCCAGGCTGTGGTCAGAACCTGCCAGATGTTAAGGCCACCTGGTTCCCGGAACAAGCCCCCACCACAGCCACTGAGGTCCAGAGCCAGGCGGCCCCGGTTCTAAGCCTGCGTTCACTCCCCAGCTGTGTGGCTTTGGGCAACTGACTTGGCCTCTCTGTGCCTCAAGTCTTGTCCTTGGCCAGAGCCACGTCTGTCTGCGCCGCCACGTAACTCACCTGCTGTGTCTTGCACAGGAGAAAGTGGATGTCAGAGGGAGGTGACCCAGATTGGCTGCCCCAACATGGTGGCACCCCAGGGGAGGGAGGTGAGACACCGGGTGGCCTCCCTGAGCTGCTGCTTCCGGGTGGTGACCCTGGCCCTCTCTCATCTCCCCCAGATCCGCCCCAGCAACCCTCCAGGAACCTGGCCCGAGGCACGGGGAAGGGTCGCCGGCATCCGGAACATGCCTCCGCGCTCCCCAGCTTCTCCTGCCTGCAGCCGCACCCACCCGTGCCCATGGCCTGCCCGGGCCCGTCACTGCCCGGCGCCTTCGACCTCCTGGGCGCGGCGGGCCAGGACAAGCTGCTCTACCTGAAGCACAAGCTCAAGACTCTGCGCCCGGGCTGCCGGGGGGCCGGCCTGCTGCACGCCATGGTGCTGCTCACGCTGGGCCAGGAAACCGAGGCCAGGATCTCCCTGGAGGCCCAGAAGGAGGACGCGGCGGCCCGGCTGGTGGCCCGCCAGTGGGCCGGCGTGGACGGCGCCGAGGCCCTGGAGGAGCCCCCCGACGTGTCCTGGGCCGTGGCCCGTGTCTACCACCTGCTGGCCGAGGAGCAGCTGTGCCCAGCCTCGCTGCGGGACTCGGCCTACCAGGCCGCCCTCCGCGCCCACGGCTCCAGGGGCGACCGCCGGCTGGCCGAGCTGCAGGACGAGGCCCGGGACCGGTGCGGGTGGGACGTCCTCCGGGACCTGAGTGGCTTCCAGCCCCTCTGTTCCGACCTGGGTGGCCTCCCACCGTCCTCGGCGTCACCCTCTGGGGCCAGGAGCCTCCCGCGCCCCATCGACAGCCAGCGGGACTGGAGCCAGGGGCGCTCCCTGCGGTCCACCAGCAGCCCCGTCTCCCTGACCCGCAGCTTGGCCATCAGTCAGTCCCCCACCATGCCCCTCGCGAGCCCGCAGCGCAGCACCCCGGGGCCCAGCAAGCTCTTCCAGGAGCCCCAGGCCAGCCCGGGGCCTGAGCCTGTCCCCACGGGCTGCCAAGAGCCAGAGGAGATGAGCTGGCCCCCTTCAGTGGACGCGGCCTGCTCCCCGGAGCTGGCAGACTGCCCCGTCCCCAGGCTCCCTGCGGCGGCCCCAGCCCCAGCCGCTGCCCAACCCCCTGAGCCCCCCGAGGCTCCAGAGACCAGCAGCCAAGGCCCAGTGGAGTGCACAGAGCGGTCTGCGGGCCCCGGACCTCTGCCCCTGCCCACTGTGGAGGCCACGGAGAGTCCTGGCCTTGTCAAGGAGGGGACACCACCCCAACTCTCGGGAGAAGAGACCGCACCCCAGAAGAGCAAGCCAAGCCCACCCACGGCCTCCCTGCCTCCGACCCCAGCCTCCACGTCCCCCTGTCCCTCCTCCTTTGAGTCAGTGTCATCCGAGCAGAAGTTCTATAACTTTGTGGTCCTCCACGCCAGGGCTGACGAGCAGGTCGCCCTGCGAGTGCGGGAGAAGCTGGAGGCCCTCGGGGTGCCAGATGGGGCCACCTTCTGCGAGGACTTCCAGGTGCCGGGGCGCGGGGAGCTGCGCTGCTTGCAGGACGCCATTGACCACTCGGGCTTCACCATCCTGCTGCTGACCTCCAACTTCAACTGCCGCCTGAGCCTGCACCAGGTCAGCCAGGCCCTCATGAGCAGCTTCACGCAGCACGGGAGGGAGGACTGCGTCGTGCCCTTCCTGCCCCTGGAGAGCTCCCTGGAGCAGCTCGGCCCCGACACGGCCAGCCTGCTCACGGGCCTCGTGTGGCTGGACGAGAACTCCAAGGTCTTCACCAGGAAGGTGGCCAACACCTTCAAGCCGCAGAAGCTGCGGGCGCGCAAGGCCCACTGGAGGAAGGAGCAGGACGTCCGCGCCCTGCGGGAGCACAGCCAGCACCTGGAGGGCGAGCGGCGGCAGGCGGCCGCCATGGCCGCCGCGTACTGGGACAGCCTGCAGAGCTACGGGGCCTGGCAGTCGCAGATGGACAGGCTCCAGGCAGCCTTCGGCAGCCACTTGTCCTTCCGGACTCAGGTGCCTCACCCGTCTCAGGTGCCCCTGGGGGGCCAGGTGCCCTGGGGGGAGCCGTCCCCCCTCCCCACCTGGCCGGGACACCCCCAGCCGCCTCCGTGGCCAGCGGGCAGCCCCGCGCCCGCCTTCCCGCCGCCGCCCGCGGCCCCGCCGGCCCCGGGGTTGCAGCCCCTCATCATCCACCACGCGCAGATGGTGCAGCTGGGGCTCAGCAACCACATGTGGAACCAGAGGGGGGCCCAGGCGCCCGAGGACAAGACGCAGGAAGAAGGGCGGTGACCAGCCGGGCCACGGGGCCGCCCTGGACCCCAGCTCGGCCGGGCAGGGCCCGTGGACCCCACCGGCGCCCTCCCTTCGGGYCGCTGCCCAGGAGCCGTCCCCACGCGGGCAGAGGGCCTCGTGGGCCTGGGGTCGAGGCGGGACACGGGAGGTGGGGAGTTTGACGGTAATAAATATTTATTGAAGGTTCCTCGGAGCCACTGTCTGCCCGGCGACCCGCTGAGAGCACGCGGCCACGCGCCCCAACAACRGGAGACGGAAGCCGCGACCACGCGGGCGGCTTCTCGAGGGTAGAGCAGGACGTTGCGTCACCTGCTCTCCCCCCATTGGTCATGAATGGGTCACATGACTTCTGTCCCGGTTGCAAAGGACCCTGGGAAATGTAGTCCTGGGGGGGGCGGCCACGTGCCTTTCAGAAAGGCTGGGTTCTAATAGCAAAAAAGGTGGAGACAAAAGATGTTGGGAGCCGGGCTTGGTGGCCTGCGCCTGTAATCCCAGCTCTGTGAGCCTGAGGCAGGAGCATCGAGAGTTCAAAGCCAGCCTCAGCACCAGCGGGGCACTTAGCAACTCAGTGAGACCCTCTCTCTAGATAAAATATCAAACAGGGCTGGGGCTGGGGCTCCGTGGTCCAGCGTCCTGAGCTCAGTCCTCTGTACACCACGCCGTTACTTGGGAGAACTTCTGGGACCACCCACTTCAGGCCGACCCTTCACAGTGCTCTTTAATGCGTGCCCCGGAGTCCCCCCACCCCCACCACTGGAAAATAAGAAAGGCCAGACCCTCGGCTGAACTCTTCACACTGGCAGACTTTCTTGAGGCCGGGTCTCACTGAGTTGCTTAGAGTCTCACTAAAGTGCTGAGGCTGGTTTGGAACTTGCCATCCTCCTGCCGCAGCCTCCCAATCAACTGGGATTACGGGCGTGGCCGCCGTGCCCAGCACACTGAGGGACCTCCAGGGGACCCCGAAGGGAGGAGTTCTGAAGGCCCATTTAACAGGTGGGGAAATAGGCCCAGGGAGCGAACTGTGGCCCCAAACATGGCCAGGTTAGGGAGAGGTCACCACCACGGCAGAAGCCAGGTCCCRGGAGGGGACAGAGGAGGCCCCCTCCCCAGCAGCGCAGGTCCAGGCAGGGTTGGGGCCAGGCCAGGTGGGGCTGGCTGAGTCACCCCCCAGCCACGCACCCTTGCTATTTTCGTTGCTGACTCAGGCTTCGTCACAGCCGGCTCCCCACGGTGGCCTGGAGTGACACMCAGGAGCGGAGCCTCTGAGCCGATTCTGGAGTCGGGCAGGGGGGCTCCTGGAAACTGTCCACCGGCCGGGGGCGATGGCCAACGGGGGAGACCTCCTGTGCAGGCCCCAGGGCGTGGCGGGGCGAGAACAGAGGGGTSSTGGGGAGGGAACTATCAGCAGGAGAATGTCAGACACCGGAAGGGACTGGAGGAGGAGGAAGCAGGGTGAGGTGACGTCGGGCGTCCAAGAGGGAGGGCCTTAAGGGGCCCAGGAGGTGGCGTGGGGCCCAGAGCTGGGGGGGAAAAGYAGGGGTCCGGGCAGAGGGCACAGCCGAGTAAAGGCCCTGGGGCAGGGCCCAGCAGGGCGTGGTGGAGGCTGAAGGCAGAGAAGAGCCCGAGCGGCTGGGGCCGGGGGCGTCAGGGCTGGGAGAGCTGGGCAGGGCCTCTGCGCTGCGGGAGGACTCGGGCTTGGACCCCGAGGGGGGCGGGAACCACGAGAGGAGGGCGGGGCCTGGCCCTGGTGCTCGCGGGAGCCCTCTGGTGGCTGCATCGGAGAGGACAGGCTAGGGGTGTCCAGGGCAGGAGCTGGGGACGGGAGGGGCGGGGGGGGGGGCACTGCTGTGGTCCAGATGGCAGCAGAGGAAGTGGGGAGCCCTTTCCCATTCCTAAGGCCGCTGGACAAGAATCCTGCCTGGGCAGCGTCACCATCACAGATCAGCCCATGGGGCCTCGGCAGCTGGAAGAGCCAGGCTCCCGACCCCACTCCGCCTCGGAGGTATTGTGGCATCACAGCAGTCGTGGTCCCTTTCYGGGCTTCCTCTTCCCTGGCCATAAAATGGACCCAGCGACCTCAGAATGCTCGCTCCTGCCTGTCCCCTCATGACCCCAGCACACGGAGGACCCGTGGCAAGGACCTGAGGGCCTGCCCAGAGACAGCATCACTGTGCCCAGTTTACAGGTGGGAAACTGAGGCCCAGAAAGGTGAAGTCACTTCTCCAAGAGCACACAGCCACTTGGGCAAGAGAGAGGCCCAGAGACCGCAAGCCGCCAGTGCATCTCCTGCGTCAGCTTTCCCACACATCCATCGCCCTCTTCTGGTTTTTGCAGGAGAGGGCTGTAACCCCGGCCACCTGGGCCAGCGCTCCCCCAGTGAGCCTACCCAGCCTCTTCCTGTCTGCCTCTTGATGGTTGACTCTAGTGACTCCCAGGCTGCCCCCAGGGCAGGTGGAACACCCCACCCCCACCCGTTTCTTTTCCCCAGACCTTTTTATATTTTATTCTGTGATAGGGTCTTGCTAAGTTGCTGAGGTCTTGAACTCACGGTCCTCCTTCCTCAGCCTCCGGAACCRGGGTCATGGACCTGTCTTGGTCCTGGAGGCTTTTTTTGGTGGTGGTGCTGGGGACTGAACCCAGGGCCTTGTGCATGCCAGGCAAGCTCCCCAGCAACTGCGCTGTATCCCCAGCCCATCGCGGAGGCTTTTTCCAGAACACAGGGCACACAGTGTTCAGTAAGCGAATTCACTTGACRAACCATTATTGAGCACTTGCTGTGTGCAGGCCTGTTCTGGGCACTGGGGATGCTGAGCTGACCCGTCTTGGCTAGTTCACTGGACAGTGAGTGGGGAGCTATTGAGTCATGGTTCCCTTTATCCAGCCAACATTTATTGAGCACCTGCTGTGTGCAGGAGACAGGCACTGATCAGGCARTGCTGGCCTTTAGGGATGTGACAGGGCCCTGGGGGATTGAAGGGAGCTGCTGGAAGGAGGAAGTGGCTGAGAGCAGAGGGTGAGCCTTGACTAGGTGGAGATGGGACAGTCCCCAGCCAGGGCTCTGTCCACTCCTGCACCCAAGGCTGGGGCCTGCCTTCAGGCTGGGTTGTTCCAGGGGAAGTCCCCTGTGAGTCACGCAGCCTTGAAGAAAAATAGGAAGAAACAACAAGGCAAAAAGTCCCCTTCTTTAAAGCCTGTGTGACTCTTTTTGAGGTCAGTAGGCCCAGGGTGGCCTGCAGCTGTGTCCCTGCTTGGGAAACTCTCCTGGCCCTGTTAGGGTTTCCCAGAGAGGGCCTTTGCCCCGTGTCACACAGCCCTTGGTGGCCTGGGCTTGGCACTCCACGGCTCGGTTGTCTCGTGACTGGAACATGTAGACAGTGTGGCCCTGCTCACAGGGACAGGCGTGTCTCATCGTTTTTGCTCCGCTGGGCAACCCAGTGAGACTGTCTCAAATAAAAAGTTAAAAAGGGCTGGGTGTGGCTCGGTGGCAGGGCTGGGTGTGGCACCCGCGAGGCCCGGGCTCCAAGCCCAGCAGCACAAGAGAGAAGGGGGGCAGCAGCCCTGGGCGGTGAGCTCCGCGGGATCCCCACCCCGTAGCCACGTCCCGTCTGGGGACTGGCTGTTCCGGACACTTCCTGCCTATGGAGGCACGCGGGGGCCTGCACCTGGCTTCCTGTCCTGCCCTCAGCCCGGGTTCTGCAGGGCCCACCCCGTGGCCGGGAAGTCCCCGCGGGCTCCCTCTCCTGGACGCACGTGTTAGCGCTGCCCGGGGGCGGCCGGGCCCTGCCGGGAGCGGGAAGGCGAGTGTGCGCATGCGCGATGTGTTCGACTCCCTGCCTGTTTGGGGCGAACCCGGCCTGGCGCGGGTCGGCGAGGGCTCTGCCCCTGAGCTGTGACCGCGGCCCCCACTTTCCTTCTTGATGACGCTCCTTGGGCGGCCCTGGCCGCACGCGGGGGCTGCAGCAGCGCCGGGCTGGCCAAGGGCGGAGCTGCCCCCAGCTGGGTGGAGGAGGAGGAAACGGCCCTGCCCGTTCTGGGTCACCCTGACCCTGGAGCCAGAAGTTGGTGTGACCAGCCTCCAGCTGGCCCCACCTGGGGAACTGAAAGTCAGGTGGAGACCAGGCCTCCTGCCCGGGCTTTCTGGAGGCGGGGCCGGCCAAGGGGCAAGCGGGGTTCCCTGCAGTGTTTTCCCMAAATGGAATTTAGGGAAGGCGTCTAGGATGTCCCCTCGGGTCAGTGACCTTGCACTGCAAGTCCAGTGGCCACTCCTCCTCGCTCCTCACCCTCTGCCTCCCACCTGCCAGGCAGGTGCCGCTCCATCTCGCCCTGGCTCCCCGCTGGCCCTCCTCAGGGGCTTCTCTAGGCCCCACCCTGAGGATCCCCAGCGCAGCGCCACGCCGACACTTGGCCACCTGCCTTCTCCATCAGGACGGGCCTTCTGTCCACTCCACTGCTGGACCCCAGGGCCCAGCACACAGCAGGTGCTCAATAAGTGTTTGGCTTTGATGAACACACCCGGCCCTGCTTCTCCTCTCCACCACAGCCTGGTCCTTCCCTCCACTGTCCCAGGACTGAGCACCTGCTGTGTACGCTAGAGGCTGGAGGCCCTGCGGCTGCCCTCCTAGGCGTAGGGCCCAGAGGGGGGGGAGACCGGTGAGGGGTGTCCCAGAGTGTGCCTGGGTGTGAAGGGGACACAGGGCACTGCCAGGCCGTCCGGGAGGGTCCTCTGGTGGGGGGGAAGCATGGCCATGTGAACCGGGCGCGGACTGTTTGTCCAGCCTGGAAAGGGTCGACTTAGGGACACAGGTTACCTCGGGGAGCCAGACAGGGCCACTAGATGGCGCCGTGTGACAGCAGGGCAGGGAAGCAGCCTCGCACTCAGCCTCTGAAAACAGCCAGGTGGTGTCCTCACCATAGGCCACCCCAGTGCTCCCTGCCACACTGCAGATGGAGACAGGGAAGTGGGCGGGGGCATTGGTTTGCAGGTGGCCAGGCCACACGGCAGGGCAGTGTCCACGGAGGTTGAGCTTGCCCTCCCAGCCCTGCCCGAGGTCACCTCCGACCCAAGACCTGGGCTTCCTGGCTCAGAGGCTGACCCCAGGTGGCCCTGGGGGATCCTATTTTTAACCTGTTCTGTGGTGCCGCCTTATTATAGCTCTGGGAGGCCGCCAAGGCTGAAGTCCTCATCTCTGCCAGAGGAGCTGCCAGGGAGCCCTGCTGCCCTCTTGCCTGGGCTCCTGCTGCCCCCTTGCTGGGCCCCAGTTCCCCTTCCCGGGACTGCACTCTTGGGAGCTCCATTTATCCCTCCTACTTGATGTTTTTCTTTAGGTTCAAAAAACCAACCCTTTTAAAAACTGAGGGCCCTTCACCATGTGCAGCCTCACGACCCCACAGGGCCCCTAATGTGGGCAGGCTGAAGTGGCCGTCACCCTAAGAGGCTCAGTGCCCGTCTCTCATCTTCAGGGTGGGTAGTGAGCCAGGGTCTGCCTGTGCTCGGCCCCAGGACGCTGGCAGAGGGCAGGCTGCGCAGGACATGCGAAGCTGGACAGCAGGTCCAGATGAGCTCAGGGCCAACGGAGGGTGCCGCGGGCAGGGCAGGAGAGGCAGGCAGGCGGCAGGAGCAACCTTCACCACGGCCGMTGCCCAGCGCAGGCAATCTAGGTCCTCTTCAGGTGCCTGAGCCTGTCACTGATGCCACAGGGGCAGGGACAACAGACTGGACACACAGGAACAAAGAATAAAAACTCAAGGTCAGGGTTCAAGGGTCAAGGGAGAAATGACCCGGTGAGGCTGGGCGGTAGATGATCCTGGAGGGCCTCCTGGAGGAGGCCGCTTCATCCAGTCCATTTGAAGGAGGAGGGTGAGTGGGTGGCACTGGGCATCTCAAGTGTCCAGCTCAGGGCCAAGGCTCAAGCCCATTCCTGCAGCCAGAGGCGGCAGTGCGGCCTGTGCAGCGAGGACACTCCCCTGCACCTGTTGGGGTGACGCCTGGGGCACCTCTGACTCAGCCGCCCTGCCCCCAGCCTTTCTCCTGGACGGAAACTGATGTCCTGTGCCCAGGTGCCAGCAGTCCCTGTTGCTCTGCGCAGAGCTATCTTTAACTCGGGACCAGGGGAGGGGCCGCCCCACCCCTGCCCTCCGCTCTCCAGCCTGGGTGCTGCGCGGGCTCTGGAGGGCCACTGACCTGCCGCCAGGGCTGCTGTGCGCCCCACGCCAGGATCCAGCCCGGGGGCAGGGTCAGTCTGTGTCTGCCCAGTCCACCCCACCTGAAACCTGCCTGGCCTTTGGGATGACCTTGGTCACCAAAACCGGGGCTCAACCCTCAACCTGGAGTCCGAGGTTTTTAGGAGCTTTGGTCACCATTCCCCCACCAAGTCCAGCACAGGTCAGGCGCCAGCGATGCTGACCCTCAAGGAGAGGCCAGGGCCGAGCACTGTGGGGTGGACGCCCTGCAGGTGCCCAGGCTGCGMGGTGTGGGCCCTGCGCCTCTCCACGGCCACCCTGGTCCCGTGGTGCACTTACGCACAACCCGCAGTGCCAGCACACAGAGGCCAACGYGGCCAACTCCTGTCCTCAGGAGGCTGCTGTGAGGGCCCCTCCCACCAGGGGCACTGTCCTGAGCCACATCCAGCCTTTTCTCTAGGACACTGCGGAGGCTGGCCTTGAACTTGCCCCTCCTGCCTGACCTCCCGGCTGCTGGGCTGCAGCCACTGTGCCCAGACCTTCTAGAGCAGGGACGTGGTCAGAGCTGGACAGACGTCACCCCAGAGGAAACAGGCTGGGCAGCAGCTGTGGCGAAGCAGGAGGCGGGGAGGAGGCCACCCCAAGGACCCCTGGGCGGCCCCACAGCGTGGCCTCTATGTCCAGACATCCCGAGGGCTGGGACTGGGCACCCCCGGCTGCACACAACCCCAGGGCAGCTGGAAGGTGGGCGGGCACAGGCTCTTGGGACTGCTGACCCAGCCTGGGGCCGCTTTTGACTGGACTGTGCTCACAGGGAGGTGAGGGGCAGGAAGCGGCAAGTGGCCGGGGAGGTGGCAGGTTCAAGGCCTGTGGGCAGGAGAGCCCCTCCCTGGCCGTGGGAGGCAGCCGGGGGCGTGCCCTCCCTTTTCTGTGCCCATTTTGTGCGGCAGCCCAACCCCAGAGCAGGCCCTGGACTCAGCGGATTCCGTCGGAGGGCAGAGGTGGAAGCAGGGCCTGTGTTTGGTGCCCAGCGAGCGGCCCTGCCCCAGCCCGGCCAGGCCCTCCCTCCGCCATGCCATGCAGCCACCCAAGAAGCACAATTCTCTTCAAACACCTGCTTTTTAATGCCCTCGGGCTGCAACAGAAACACCTGCTTCTGCTGTGCTTCGGGAGGGCCAGGATTGTCCTCCTGAGTTAAGTCAAAAGCTCGTCTTATGAATAAATAAACTTCCTACCTAACACTGCAAACCCAAACCCGCCTCAAGGGCCAGGCGTCCAGCGGTGGTGCTACCCTCTGCGATGGAGCTGGGATCTGCTCCTGCAGGGCTGTGGTGTCACCTGGGCAGAAGGATGCCTTCTGCTAACCTGCCCTGGCAACTGTGCGGGGACCCAGGGCCCAGGGGGCGGGGCAAGTGCTGGCGACCTGCTCCATGGAGACCGCAGACCTGCGTTACTGCAGAGCTGGGCCCTCCCGGGGGAGGCCCGGACTCAGGTCCTGCAGCAGGTCAAGGGCAGGGCTGTTGTGGGCATGCCCCAGACGGGGAAGGCCGCACAGGCGTCCCTAGGCTGAAGTGGTCTGCCTGTCCTTTTAATCCGTAAACAGTGGCGCCGGACCTATACCCGCTGCCCTGGGAGGCAATCGTGTGGCTTCTTTGGTGCTTGACCTGATCTTGGGTCAAAGTYGGGGGACACTGTTCTCTAAGGAGAATGGGAGGCTGGGAGGCCTGCGCAAGGCCGAGAGGGGTCCCATACACACCTAGGGCCACCTCRGGGCGGACACGGGGCCTGGGGCTCRCTCCCCAGCACAGCTCACTGGGATGGGTGGCCACAGGCACCAAACCCCTGACTGCCTGGAGGCAGCTCGCGCGGTCCAGCAAACAAAAAGCCTAAAAAAAATAAAATAAAATGAAGAACTGCAGCAAAATGTCAGAACCTGGGCACAGCTGGGTCCACCCCTACACCCACCAAGCCCACAGCTGCCCAGGGCCACGGGGCAGCCGGGGGACCCTGCTTCTGCACTTGCCAATGCCCGACTGGGAGCCGCTCCTACCACTGTGGGTGGCTGGGCACCAGGACCTCGGGGTGCAGGAGGCCCCCAGTCCCTCCCAGCATGTGACCCTGCAGGCYGCCAGCGCGCAGGCGCACTAACTGCTCCCTGGTCCAGGGGAGGGGCCAGAGGCAGAGGGCCCTTGGGTGCTGGCGAGGGCGAGGCCGTGGCCTCCCCGGCTCAGTGCAGCTGGATGAAGGCCTCCAGCTCCTCGGGGATGAAGCCCTTGTAGGGGATCTTGTTCTTGTCCAGGGCGCGGGCGGCGAGGCACTGCAGGGTCACGTAGTTGAAGGGCTGCATGGTGCTCTTGGCCAGCAGCCCCTCGTCCAGCAGCTCGCAGGCGGTTTTCTTGAAGGCGTTGGTGGCGTCCATGTGGGCCCCAGCTTCCACCAGGGCGTTCATGATGGCCGGGCAGTTGTTCTGGGCCGCGATGTGCAGCGGGGTGTTGTTGTCAAAGTCCCTGCTGTCCGGGTCGGCCCCACAGTCCAGCAGCACTTTGACCACGTGCAGGGAGGGGAAGGTGCCCACGCGGTAGCGGCCCACGTTGGTGGTGTCCTTGTCGGCAGCCATGTGCAGGGGCGTGAAGCCGTTCCTGCCGCGGGGAGCGCACCGGAGCAGCCGGTAGACCGTCTGGTGCTTCAGGTGCTCCTGGCTGGGGCTGGTCTCCACCTTGCCCATCAGGTAGAGCAGGTGCAGGATGATGGCCAGCGCCTTGGTGAACTGTGCCGAGTCCCCGGGCTCCCTGGGCTGCTGCAGGGCCCGCTCCACTTCCCGGACGCCTTTGCTGAGCACGCCCATGAGGTCTGTGAAGCCGATCTGCGTGCCCAGGCTGCCCTTGGCGGCGCGGTCCTGCAGCACGTAGGAGAAGAGTTCGGCAAAGGAGAGGAAGCTGCTGGCYGTCATGGGGCTCAGGGGCTCCAGGTTGCTCTGCTGCATGTCCAGGGCATACTTCCACAGGCGGATGCAGCGCTCGAAGTTGCCCGAGTCGGCGTACACAGCGCCCCGGTACCGGATGTAGTAGGAGGTGTCGGGGTGCGAGGGGCCCAGGATGCGCTCCCGGATCAACAGCGCCTGCATGCGCATCTCATCCGGGTCCGTGATCAGCGCTTCCAGTTCCTGGGCGCTGTTCACCTCCCTGGAATAGTCGTAGGCCAAGACCGGCTGCTGGGGCTCGGGTTTGGGCAAATACTCGCCGCCCTGGTGCCGCAGCTCCATGGCGCGTCTCCAGTGCTTAAGGGCCCCCAGCAGATCTCGCTTCTTATCCACATACGTGGCTCCCAGCAGCTCCAGGGCTTCTATGGCAGCTTCCCGGCTGGTGGGGCAGCAGCTCTCGTAGGTGAGGGGCTCCTCTGGGGCGGAGCCCTCCTGGGGCGGCCCTGCGCCGGCCGCCTGCGGCTGGCCTGGCTGCTTCTGGATGAGGTACTCCACGATGTTGGTGTGGCCCGTCACGCTGGCCGCCAGCAGCGGGGTCATGCCGTAGCCGTCGCGCTCCATGCGCGCGTTGCAGCCCAGCAGCAGCTGCAGGATCTCCAGGCTGCCGGACTCGGCGCAGTCGTGCAGCGCCGTGTTGCCTTTGGCGCTGCGCCKGTTCACCTGGGCGCCCTGCTCCAGCAGGTAGCGCGCGATCTCGCGGTGGCCCTTGTAGCAGGAGATCATGAGGCACGTGTGCCCGTGCCGGTTGGCCACCTCCAGGTCGGCCTGGTGCTCGCCCACCAGGTAGCGCACCACCTCCAGGTGGCCGTCGAAGCAGGCGGCGCGCAGCGGCGTGGAGTTGGTGCGCGTGGTGCGGTTCACCGAGGCGCCGCGGCGCAGCAGGCTGCGCACCACGTCCAGGTGCCCGGCGGCCGAGGCGGCCCACAGCGGCGGCGCGCCCTCGATGGTCTCGCCGTCGAAGTGCACCGAGCCGCCGGCCTCCACGCTGGCGCCGCACCGGTCCACCAGGTACTCCACCACGTCCAGGTGGCCGTAGCGGGCGGCGATGAGCAGCGGCGTCCCTCCGCAGGCCACCTCGCCCATCAGCTCATCCAGCTCCTCCCGGCTCCGGCCGCTGAGCAGCTTCTGCAGTAGCTGCAGCTTGCCGTCGTGGGCGGCATTGTACACGGCGGTGTGGAGGTCCATGGTCTCGGCCTCCGTCAGCCCATGGGACGGCCGCGGGGGACAGGGAGACGGCGGCTACAGCCCTGATGGGCAGGCGGCAACCTTCACCGTCTCCCCCGCCGCCATCTCAGGGCCTCGGCGGGCGGAACAAAATGGCTGCGGCGACCTTGCGCCTTCGGCCTTTGGGGGCATGCCGGGAAATGCAGTCTTCTGCGCGGGACAGCTCCGTAAGACGCAGAGGGACGTTGAAGGCTCAAGACTACATTTCCCAGAAGGCCGCGGGGCAGCCTCTGAAACCTGTCAGTACGGTGCATGATGGGAATTGCCGTTCCCATCAGCGGATAGCCGGGCAAAAAAGGGATCGAAGGACCTCGACTCCCGGCATGCCATGCGACAGGCTTTGTCTGGTGCGACGCCGGGAAAACTCAGTGACGTTTTTCCTTTTGCTGTCACTTTGCCCGGGTCGACCGGAAGGGCAGGCAGGCTAAGCCTCCAAAAGACTACATTCCCCAGAAGGCTAAGCTGGCCAGGTGGGTCCGAGTTAGTCTTAATGTGGCGGAGCCGCTAACCGGCAGGGGGCGCGCGGGAGAGGCTGAAAAGTTGAGTGGGGGCGAGGAGCTTGGCGTAGCCCGGAGGACGGGTGGCGATCAGGGTTAATCTTTATCACTCGCGTACTTCTCATTCATTCATTCATCCATTCATTCACCCAATACCAGAACAATCCAGAAAGTTCTTAGATCCCTTTTTGGTCAAACCTCCCCTCTCGCCATAGCCACAGCTGATCTGTTCTGTCCCTGTAGTTCTGCCTCTTGAATAATACAAATTGGAAAGCCTGCCTCTGGCAGCCTCTTGCCTGACCTTCTTGCAGGGCTGGGCTCGCTGAGTTGCTGAGGCTGGCCTTAAACTCGCGGTCCTCCGGCCTCAGCCTCCCGGGCCGTTCGCCGCCTGGCCCTGTGAGATGCTGTAGACTTCTCAGGATTTCCCCGCTGCCCCTTGGTCTAGGAAGCTGGGCCACCCCTCTGGAGTTGAGAAGGCCCAAGTCCCTGGTGGCTTGTGTTTGTCCCTAGCTTCCTGTGCATTACAACTTGGGGAGATGCTGCCACATAGGATTTTGTGGCATATTCTAAGTCTTCCTCATTAACAGGTTTAACCATTTAAATAACAAATACATCCCGAGGTTATTCATTTTCTTCACACAGAAAGCATAGAAACATTTTGTTGTTGTTTTRTTTTTGATGGAGCTGAAATTTTTTTAAATTTCTACAGTGAAATGAAGACTCTGAAACTTGTAACACAGAATCCTGAACCGGGGTTTGAAGGTCCCATGGGTGTTTGCCAAACAAAGGCTTCATTAAGTTTTAAATGCCCCTCCACAGATGGCAGCACCCTGCGGTGAACTGTGCCCTCAACCAGGCAATTACAGGATCTGTTTTAAAAGTTAGTTCACTAATAGCACCACTGCGGAGGCCGAGGCAGGAGAATCCCAAATTCAAGACCAGCCTGGGCCACGTCCTGAGACCCCGTCTCAAAGTTGAAAGGGCTGAGCTGTGGCTCAGTGGCAAGGTGCCCTTAGGTTCAGTCTGCAGCCCTAATTAGTCTGTAATTAATTAATGTAGTAGGTGGAGCAGGTCCTGGTAGGACAGCAGTTCCAGGCTGAGTGTGGAGCCTCAAGGGACCTCTGGGGACGTGGCAGGTTCCAGCCGGGTGGCCAGTGGTCAACCCCTGGGCCATTTCTTGGTGCCTCCTGTAGCATTCTGCACGGAGGAAGTCTGTTCAGAGTTACAGTGCTTCACTGACCATTGGCTTCTCAATGTAGCCGTAGCCAAGAGATTAATTCTGGACCCCGGATTCCAGGGTTTGAGGTCATTCCCGGGGCCAAGCAGCTGCGTGGTCTGCACAAGCTGCTGACCACAGTGAACTTGGCTTTCTCATCTGTGTGGCTGGAGGGGGGAACTAGGTCTCGGAGGGCTCTGTAGAGCAGGTTGCAGGGTGTCGGGCAGGTGGGTGAGCCTGGGAGGGGCCCCTCCACCATCGCCCCATCACCTGGTGGGCCCCTTCCACACGGAGATTAACTGGCCCAAGGCCAGGATGTGGGCAGGCTTGGTTTCTCCGGAGCCCTCTCCTTGGCTGGCAGGTGACCTTCTAAGCCTGCCACACATGCACAGGGGGAGGTAGGGCCTCAGCCAAGGATCTGGAAGGAGACCTGTTCCTCCGGGTGACCACCTGGTGCAGTCTGAGCCGTCACCAGCACACCACCACCCACATCCCCACCACTCTCACGTCACATCACCACCACGTTGTCACCACCACCATCACCACCACGATCCTATATCCCTCACCAGAGGTAGGAGCGCGGCACACGGTCAGGCACCTGGGGCTGCCCGGTGTGGCGCTGTGCGCTGTTCATTCCACGTGGTCGCGAAGCCCCCCAGTGATGCGTTCCCCAGAGCACACGGGGCAGCCCCCAGGAGGTCGGAACAAAGTCTTCATAACAAACTGTCCTCTCCGTCTCACTCCGTGCTCAACCGAAAACGTGTCCCTGTTTCTGGTGGCAGTGGCTTTGGCCCAAGGACCAGGGTGGGGACATGTGCTGGACACCTGAGGGGGTTGCTGGGGAGACTCAGAAACAGGCTGGACACTAGGAAGCAACGGGGCCCCGAGGGTCATGCGTGGAGGATGGAGACTGAAGACCCAGGGCTGGTCCAGAGAGCGGCCAGCGGCAGAGCAGGGAGGGGCGGGGCCCTCAGGGGAGGCAGAAGGGGCAGCCTCCCTGGTGGAGGCCTCCGCTAGGGAAGGGTGGGGGCGTGGGGGCCAGGGGTGGCAGAGCCACGTCAGGATGGGGCACGTGTGCCGCTGCGTGTCATCGCCATCTCCCTTCCTCCCATCGGCCGGGTCACGGGGCTGCTCAGAGTAAAATGGCCGCTCTCAGCTTCCCGCCTCAGCTGGAGGTGACCTGACCGAGCCCAGCCAATGAGAGGTGAGCAGCCGCCCAGCGGTGGCCACGCCTGCAATTCCAGCAGCTCCAGAGATTGGGGCCGGAGGATCGCAAGTTCAAAGCCAGCCTCAGCAGCTCCGAGACCCTGACTCTAAATAAAATGTGTTTAATAGCTGGGGACCTGGCTCGCAGTTTAGCGCCCCTGGGTTYCATCCGTGGTACCAAAACAGTGAGCAGCCGTTCTGTGGCCCCCAGGGGCTGAGCCAGCGCCCAGCCAGGGGCAGCAGAGTCGCCGTGGCCACGTGGGCACAGCGGGAGATTCGTGGCCACGGGTGGGGTAGTCCATGGGCGGCCGGGAGGGCAGGTCACGAGTCTTGGATGAGTGTCAACTTCACCACAGTGAAGTCAGCTGCTGTCTTTAAAAAAAAAAAAAATATATATATATATATATATATATATATATAGTTGTAGATAGTCTCAACGTCTTTATTTTATTGATTTATGTGGTGCTGAGGATCGATCCCAGGGCCCCACGTAGAGAAGCGCTCTGACGCTGAGCCCCAGCCCAGCCTCCTCTCATTTTTATAAATTTTTTTGAGGGGGTCTTGGGGATTGAACCCAGGGGCACTCGGCCACTGAGCACATCCCCAGCCCTAAAATAGATTGTGTTTTATTTAGAGACAGGGTCTCACTGGTTTGCTYSGCACCTCGTCGCCTTTTGCGGAGGCTGGCTTTGAACTCGCGGTCCTCCGGCCTCAGCCTCCCCAGCCGCTGGGATGACAGGCAGGCGTCACCGCACCCAGCTTTAATTTTTTTTTCTTTTAGATTTAAGTCAGATTTACGTTTTAACAGTCACCATTTAAATCAGGGGAAAGAGCGCAGTTTGGCGACTTTTGATCTATTCACAGCKCGGCAGCCACCTTTCCCAGTCCTGGGTCATCCTGTCCCCAGCCCAGCAGCCCCTCTCCTGGGTCCCAGTCCGGGCACGACCTCGGCTCCCCTCCCCGATGGAGTCTTTGCCCCCTGTGCGGGCCTCGCCTCCCCAGGGCTTCCGGACCTGGGTGCTCCTGATGCGACCCGGGAGGGGCTCGGGGAGGAAGGGGGCTGGGCTTGCTGCGGGTGGCGGTCACTGGGCAGGCAGATCGGCGTCTGCACAGATCTGCAAAATGGCCGGCTGGCCCTGGACTCCCACACCCTGCAGAGGAGACAGCCGCCGGGAGGGCGGGGGGAGGGGGTCTGGGGACCGCCAGCCGGTCCCCTCCGCAGTGCTGCCGCAGTGCGCGCCTGCGTGGTGACAGCTGCGGTTCCCCTGGTCTCCGTGCTGCCTGCCGAGGGCCTGACCTTCCTCAGATTGTCCCCTCCCGGCGGAGCCAGCGGCTTCCGTGGACAACAGCCACCTCTTAAAATTCCAGGCTCTCACCAACCCTCGTTCATCTTGGCCAGACTGGAAGCTGGTGCCACAGTCCCCAGCAGAACTGCCATGAGCAGGAAGGGGTCAGCACAGCCTGGGTGTGCGGTCCAGGCACAGAACCCGAGCTCAGCCCCAGCCCTTTTTAAATACTTTATATAGAGACAGGGTCTCCCTGAGCTGCTTGGGGCCTCACCATGGCTGAGGTTGGCTTTGAACCCGCGATCCTCCTGCCTCAGCCTCCAGAGCTGCTGGGGTGACAGGCGTGCCTGATTTTTTACTAGGACTCACCATTAAGCTATTTATATCCCTTGCGTGTGCCTGTTGGGGACAGGCGCTGCCGTCCCCTGTGGCCAGACCTGGGATTCAGATCTGAACCGGGCAGCAACAGCCAGTTCTGGCCCTGCCTGGGCAGGATGGACGCGGAGCCCAGGGCCGCGGCCTCTGCCCACAGCCCGCCCGGGCTGCAGGCAGGACCCTGAGGCACCTACAGTCCTGCCTGTCCTGCCCGCTGTGGGCGAATGACCGTACCAGGGAGGTGAGCTGTGTACCCCACACGGGAACACAGAGAGGGCCAYGCACAAACCCAGGGCAGGAGGGACTTCCAGCTCCATTTTAGCCTCTGGGGACCACGGTGGTGTGTCCGCCTGGCCTGGACGGGAAGGTCTTGCCTCCCTCCCAATCCGGTGGCCGCTCCTGGCAGCAGGCGCGTGGTGCCTGGCGGGAACCTGTCCACGAGGGCCATGGCCACGCACTGCCTCGGCCACGCCGTCCCCACTGCATCCCGCCCAATTTTCCCACAGCTTGGGCCCCTCTCCAGCCACACCTG